CTGCCTCCGGCGGCCTGAGGCTCACCCCGGCAGCACCCTGCATCGACCCAGCCCTCCTGCCTCCTTCCTGATGGAGACCCTGCTGATCCGTGCTCCCCCAGGCCAGCACTAAGATGTCACCAGGCTGTCACCTCGTGGCACCGGGAGAGGAGCAGGCCAGCAGCAGCAGGGCTGCAGTTCAGCTGGGTTTGGACGCATCAGCTTTCAGCTAAACACCGAGCAAATACCCAGAGGAGATGTGAAGGGAGGGGGCTCTGTGGGCTGAGCTCTGCTCTTGTGGCAGCAGCTATCCCTGGCAATGTGAACGGCAAGGCCCTTTTCCAGCAGCCCTGCAGGAAAGCTGCACTGAAGCACTAAGGGCCAGGGTCAAGTGACAGTGGAGTTTCCTAATGACGATGCTTGCCTGTGCAGGGGGAGCTCACTGGTGTGAAGTTCAGGGCACAATGCTCTCCTCTGAACCTTGTTGTAGTTGGGAGGGAAAGGTCACTTTTGGATAAAGTCCAGTAATAAGTGTGCTGAGAATTACACAGATCTGTGCACCCCCTCCATTAGGGCAGTAAAATCACAGGGAAAAGAGAAAGCGCTGCCCTACAAAATACGAGGTTAAAAAAAAATAGATATATTTCACAAAACTTGTGCATCAGATCTGCTTGTAGCAGGAGTTACAGATCTTTTAGATTAAAAATGAAATCTTCAAAGAGAAATCCAGGATATTTGGTGTTGTATTGTTTGAGCAGAGATTGCTGAATGCGAAGCATCCAGCGGGGATCGCAGCAGCACTGCACTCTAATGCCACGCTTGAGGAATGGGGAAGTATTTTAAAACACATCGGCTGTGGTGTAAATCAAACACCTTCACTGAAGCCACATAAGGGCTCATCTATGCAAAAAATACAGCATTTTAAGCGTACATTTAACTTCTGATAACTCTGGTGCTGTTCTGGCTGGGAACAGTGTTAGAGCAGTTAACACTTTTTCAGCTTAGTTATGACAAAACGTATATGTTTAAGTAAATACAGCAACAAAAAAGAAATACCAGAGTGAGTATCCATACAAAGTTTCACCAATTTGGCTATCCTGAATTCAACCCTGGCTCTCAAAACCTTTTTTTGCCAGATAAACTCTTCCTATAGAGCCCTTTGCACCTGTACCTCTGGCAAACCAGGTGGAACGAGGCCCTTACCCAGGGTGAAGAAGCAGCTCCGTAATTAAACAGCTTCCTTGAGGAAAACAGGTTTGCTTTTTAAAGCAGTCTCAACAACAACAGGATCTAAACCAGAACAACACCGAAGATAGAAGAAACGCAATTAGCAGTGCAAAGAGACAAGGAAATGGCTCTAGTGCGCAAGAAAATGATTCATAACACTGCTGGGTAATTTATGCTGGGCTATTTATTATGCTCACACACATGGTGATATATTAAAATTCTTGTTGGCAAAACGTCCTTTCAAAATTAAATGATGCTTTAGCCTCACCGCCAGGATTTTTCTCGTCCCAAGTCATGTTTGTAATAAACTTTATTAAATGTGATAAAATATTACACAGTTCAAACAGAGAAACCCAATGGGGAAATCATGTCCATTTCTGTGAAACTAAGTAGCGGAGCTTTGTTGCTGGCATTAGGAGAACAGCTTTGTGCTTTGCTAGAGATATGTTCTAGAAAATCCCCATAGTTCTCCATGAATAATTGAAGACAATATATAACCGAGATGCTTGTTTGCTACCTCCAGAGTTGGATCCTCAAGGACCATTAAATTAATTTTTAATAACGTAGGCTACGGCTAAAGTTACGGGACACGAAATTTCACTCTAAATATGTTCATCGTAAAAAATAAAATAAAATTAAATCTCAAGGTTGCAACCTGGGTAGCAGGAGGTTTACAATGACTAATAAAGCAGAAAGGGAGACATTAGGAGAGCTTACTGTTACTCCAATTTGTTTGTCACATCTCATTTGTTATGCCTTAGGTAAGAGGGACGCCTCTACAGACTTTACTCCACAACTTTAACAGTATGCAGCGTGATTGTAACACTCACATTTTCCAGTCCTCTTCACTTACACAGTCCCTTTTTAATTTTTTTATCCCCCCAGAAGCAAGGAATCAGTGCAGACCTTTCAAGTGTGCCGGGCACCTGCCCGATCCCATCCGTGTTGGTTATTTGTCATACACGGGCAGCGACAAGGCAATTTCTGCCAGCGCCTCGGGGCGATGCTGCAAACGTTTCAGAAATTCATTAACCGAGAAGAACTCGCTGTAATAAATTGTCTGCAGAATAAATTTGCACAGAACAAAATAATCATTAGGAAACCCGGCCCACTTGAAGTAGTCGCTAACTGCACCTAGGCTGCCATTAATCGCTGCATAATAGCATTTCACCTAGTATTAACTCTACCCTCAAGAAAGGCTGGTTTATCTTTGGAAAGAAAGGTAATAAAGCAAAGTAACAAGGAAAAATGTATCTTCAGAACAAAAAGAGAACTTTTCAAACATCCTGTGTCACGGAGAAATCACCATTTCTACAGACTCTCTCTAGAGATGTATTTAAACGCAAGCACATTTTGTAAAGCTGTGGTGGAGTTTTCTGATGTTATTTGGGCATGAGGTTTTAAGGCTCAGGATGACAGCCTGTACCCAGAGCAGCTTTTATTTCACCAGAAGCAGAAAGCAGCTCTGGAAACTGTAATTTTTCAATGATCTTTGTTCCAGGCGATGGTCCCTGTTCACTCAAGACAGAGAAGCCTTTGCCCAGCAGCACCGGTGCTGAAGGAGGCAAATGGAGGGGAGAGGAAGGAGCAAGACAGAGACGCGCTCAGCACCTAATCCCTTCCACTCTATTCTTAAACACTGTTCTGTTTGGACACGGATATTTAGAGTAAACCAGGTCTGTTATCAATACCTCCCAATAATAATCTTCTGAGGGAGAAAATCAGCAGCCACTCACCTGGTCAGAGCTGTGCTGCTTTTCTCCAGAAGGAATTTCTAGAACCCATACAGCGAGTTCATTATATGCTCTAGTGCTTTACTTGATGAAAGAGGAGCTTTTCAGAAGTGACCTTTGAAATTAAGACATGGTAAGTTTTCAGGCTTCTGAGAGAGATCTGTGAGGACTTGTTCGAGACATTTGAAGATACCTCCAAAGGCAGTAAGGTCTCCGTGGCTGCTAGAGGGCTGGTCACCCAGGCAGCATCACCAAGATGTTTCTTTGGAAAGCCCTACCTATGGCAAATGGCCCCACAGCCAACCAGTGACCAGAGGAATGGAGATTACTAGGCAAGAGGAGGGAAATGTATATATGGCAACACACGGATAAAAGCTTGATTCAATTATCACTAGATATAATCTGGGATGAATTCATCTATTAGTGATTTTATTGATGTTTCTTAAAATGTTTGTAGTTTCTATTTTCATGCCATGTCTTTCTCAACTTATTATGTACCTATATCTTTAATTTAAATAATGCCTCATACCAACACTTCGAGTAGAAGCTTTAAGTAGTTTTTAGAAGTCTCTCATCCAAATGTGTATTAGGCTGATGAATTTACAGAACGTAAATAACTTGTTGGAGATGGATCTGGTCTCAGCCAAAAATCTGGTCTCAGCAGGGCCTTTTGGTCCACCCACTTTTCACCATTTCAAAACTGATATAGGGGATTTCTGGCCAAAACCAGAAGGCATGTACATCCCGATTTACAGCACAGATTATTTTTACTCCAAAATCTGTCATATCAGGACGGCAGAGATCTGGACAGTAATAACACATTTGCAAACATACAGGCTTTTAAAGTTTGATTCATTCATTTGATTTTTGATTAAATAATTTGATTTTTCTGGTAACACAGGGTGTAAGAGATCCAGCTCTTAGACTGTTCCAGGCATCATACGAATACAATCCAAGACAAGATTCCCTCTTGCTAAAAGCTTTGTAAACTGGTTAGTCATATTTAAATTAAAGCTTCGTGACCTTTACAGAAAGGTCTCACCAGCTCAAAGATTAAACGGAGAAGGATATGCACGTGATCATGCAATGCACCAACTGCCCTGTCTTTAAATACCACCTGTTGGAGGGACTGTCTGTTTTGATAACATCACCCAGGAATTTTCCCTTGTGTGAAACTGTGAAATTTATGGATCTGCATTTACTCTTAAAAAATGTTGAATTTTTTTTTTTTTGAGCATTCTTTGTGTAGAAGTCACAGCTCTGGCTCAATGGACTGCTTGAAATGAACGTGGGTGGAAAACTGAAGTCATCTATGCCCTTAGATTACAAAACAAGCACAATTCAAAAACAGCCTAGAACTATGACCCACTGACTTAATGAACTAGAAACATGACATTAAAAAACCAGCCCCGAATGAGAGGTTCCCAGGAGCATGACAAACTGATGGGTAAAATAATATCAAGGTAAAATGCCTTGATCTTGAACTGTGGCTGTCAGATCACAGGGCGGTCTTGAGGGAGGACATCAGGTTCTCATCCGATCGCTGCTTTTAGTAAATGGTCCCAGAATATCCAGTTACAGGCTGAGGGTGTGCACAACCACTGCAGGCATGAGCTGACTGCTCAGCTATGGCCCTACAACAACCCAACAGCAAAGCGGATGATTAAAGAGAATTAATCAAAAAAAATTAAAGCGGACTGTGATCTTAAACTACATCAAATTGCCTTTTGTTCTCCACAATTGCTTTTGTTCTCCAACATCCCCACCGCAGCTAGGTGGGGATGTTGGAAACGAATTAACAAGAAAATTATAACCCTGCTCTTTTATCTAACCTCTACGTTAAACATCATTTCATGCTGTTGTTGCAGCCAGCACACCTTTGGCCTCTACCATAGTTCCAAAACCTTTTTACTTCTGCTGTTGAAATCCAAGGGAAGCTTGCAAAGAGGTTAGCAGCACAGTCTAGGGGGAGTGGGGCTACAGTTAGCAAAACTCACAGCATAGACAGAGCCAATCTAAGCCTCTTCTCTTTTGATAAACACATTAGGAAAAGCAAAAGTGTTCAAAAAATATTTAAGTTTATCAACAGATGGAGACACACAATATCCAAAAGCTGGAAACAAGATTGAAAGGAGACTTTCAGAATGTAAAAGCTAGCAAGAAAATACTAAATTTCATCTCTACTAAATAAAATATCGTCAAAAGCCTTTTTTCTTTTTTTTTTTTTTTTTTTTTTTAAGACATTACCGAGATCGCAATCAATCAGTCTGGCTACTTAGACATACAGCGCCCCATCAGAGGATTTAGCAAAAATGAAGTACTAAATTATTCAGTATTTAAGCAATCGTGTAAGGAATACGTAGCTGTAAAGGACAAACTGCAAAAGAAGAATATTTTCCTGTTACTTCAATATATACTGTAGTTTTAACAGGACAAAGTAAAAATCTGAACATTTTTTCCATGCACAGAATTGAGATCCCAATTTAGCCTCATATCTCAGTCAAATTCTTCCTGTATTTATATGCGACAGAAGAGCACAATCTGTATCTCTGAATTTAACTTAGTATTTTTACTGCATTTACAGCCATGTTCTCTCACAGCTGTGTTGCATTTGATTTTTATTTATTTATTTTAAGCCTCCTCTGTTACAAATTCCCACACTGTTATGCTTATAAAGAAATGCTAGGGAAGTCTCGTCTTTGGATCCACGTACTACAGACATACAGTATGTGTGTAAGCCCAAGGAATCACAAAAATAACCCTGTTCAGATGCACGCTGTATTCTCAGAATGTCAATTTTAAATGAATGAGCTTTAAAATTTCACCATTTTCCCAATAAAAAAGCTTTTTAGCTATAAATGTACACAATCTCGATCAGAACCATTCAAATTCTCCAAGAAAAGCTCTGATGCATTTTGAAACATGCTTAAATACATCAGCTCTAACCTTCTGCGATATTTACCATTTTTAAGTCTTTTTCAAGATTCATAATCAACATTTTGAGTGTCTTGCAGAACGTGAATACAAGCCAATCGGTCCCTGAAAGCGCATCACAGCAATTAATAGCCAGAAGAACAGTGACCAGATGGGTATTATTTCACTTATTTCATACAATTTTTTATATTTAGCTCAGAGAATCAAAATTGCATGTTAAGCTGTTAAAACACACGTAGGAAACTGTAGCACTGGAATCCATACAGAACTGATACCATAAAACGTTAAGCATACACCTGAGAAAATGGAAATTGTTGTTTGCCACTGCATGCATCTCCAGATCAAAGTATTAAACAGCATCAAAATAACGCATTAAAGGTGATTTTAATTTATTTTTCTTAAGTCCCCGTGTCTTTTATTCTAGCACTGAATCTTTGAATTTCCTTCTGGCAACTGCACTAAAACAATAAACCTTCCGGAGAGGTTGAATGACACGATCTGGGCACCATGGTTTATTAACCCACGACGGATGACCAGCACACGTTTCAAGTCTTTGATCACTGGGAAAGATTTTTACTTATCTTTCAAACATTTATTGCAGATTTCTAAACAGGAGGAGGAAAACTCCAATTAAGCCAAACATTAATGACCGAAACAGCAAGACACCAACTCCACCTAATTTAATATTAGAATTTGTTTTCAAAACAAACACTTCTTGAAACTTCATACTGAGCGTGTTTTCACTTGTTGGTCACAGAGCAAGCAGGAATTCTGTACCAAAAAACACCACGGTAGATGTTAATACTCATTTAAAACTATCAGCACGACGAGCCGACAGCATACAGTCTGTTGAGCAGAAGGCGAGGTGTTCTGCCCCATTTAAAAGCAGGTCAGTTTCAAATTCCCATTTCCACTCTGCCGTTGTGATGAAAGGCTTTCAGAACTCTAGCCCCATTCCTCTCCCCACCCCCCATTAAAATACTGTAACATAAAATATAATTCTGACAGATTTAAACCATACACACAGCTACCTAAACGGACAGTTCTGTTACTTTCAGGACAGTGTTCAAAATAAATCAAACCTGTCGAAATAAAATAATACCTATGACATGCACATTAAGTTCAGGTTTTTTCCCCCGCTGCTTTCCTACATATATTTAAGAAAAAGAAGGTTGTGAGGACAGCACGTTTGTAAACTCAACCGTTCTGCAGTAAAATTGAACCACAGAAAGTGTGCTATAATTCAGCTAAGATACAGACCTTACAATGTTGAATTACTGAACTAGAAAGAATCTTAATTTTTGCTGCTGCTCAATTTTTGAGCAGTTTTTAGAGATTGTAGCGCGCAGCCCCTTTCTCTGGGAAGACAGCAGCAGAACCGTGACTGGCTTATTGCACAAACCCAAGAACTCAGCCAGGCAGTGAGCATCCAAGGAGCAGGCTGCCAGCCTTTTGGGGGCTGACACGTTTTGTCAGAGGAATTTAGCTACTTCCCTGCTAAACGGAATGGCGAGACTCATGAGATGTATTCCAGACTGGAAGCATCTAATTGCAATTATTTTCATTACTTCCACATTTAAACTCCATCATCCGATTCCCTCTTGCCCGTCCTTGCCTACTCCTATCAGGCCGGGGTCCTGACAGACCCTTTACACTTGCTGAAAGATCCCACATCATTTCATAAGGGCTCTTTACAGCTTACTTCTCCTTCCCCAGCCACTTCTAGCTGCCTTCTTTAAGGCTCAGAGAAGGTCCATAAGTCTTATCACTGTTTTTTTTATGACATTAATGTCAGCCTCACTCAATCCCTAGCGATATTCCTGTCACAATCACATCTAGACCCTCGATCGAGTCTACTAACCTTCCCTCATCAAACATTTTCTCTCTTCTACAGAGAAATTGGAGAGCTGCTTCTTGCCTGAATGCCTCTAAAAGGGGCATTCAATCCAAGGAAGAAGAAGAAAATTGCTACGCAGCTTTTATTACAGGAGCTGCCCTACTTTCAAAGAGCTACAGGTGACAGGACTGGCTCAGTTGCTTAGTTCAAATGGGACACAAACATTACTGTCAATACTAGGTGGAGGGAGGGGAAGTAACAGGCAATAGAAATAAATTGTTTAGTCAGAAGAAACTATCAACTTAACTTTATAACCTATGCAGGAATTGCTAAAACCTTGGTTGAACTAAGGGCCGAGGAATCTCCAGTTCTGCCTCTCCATTAAGAGACGTTTGAGATCACAGTGTTGCAACCTTAACAACAACGATGACAAAAAACATCATAATTTGAAATTGAACCTTTCAACTGAAAAACTAGAGAACCCCAACAATTTCCTTCCTCGATACAGATGTAAATATAAGGCAGGTAAACATCAGAAAAATCCTTTTTTTTTTTGCCAGTTGTTATAGGTGAAGTCCATAAATATTAAGCTGTTGGATTTTCCTCAAAGGATATTTTGCAAAGTAGTAACCCAGATACAAAACACATCTTGGCACGTATTACAATGAAAAAGCGTTGACAAATTCACACACTTTCATTTTGTTTAAGCAATAAAGTACCAGTATAGACACGTTTGCTCTACAGAGCCTTACTGCAAGCTCCTTGCTCTCACTGAGAAGTACTTAACACTTGCAGACAACCCCACTCAAATCAATGCTTCCGTCCCTCAGATGTCACGTTAAACTACTCAGGCACTAAGTGCCATGAATGGGATTTGCAATCTGGTAGTAGTGTACATAAAGATAAGTCTTCACAAAATTTGAATTGTATTTGCTTCACAAATACAGGAAAACAAAAATAGAATGACATCTCCTCTACAGTAAGTGCAGACAGTACAACTGGCATGTTTTGAAATTCTAAGGCAACAATATGGGACCAGCATATGAAACTGTACTATAGAGACCAAGTTAATGTACTGCTTTCTTCTGCAGAGTAGAAGTAATTTTTTTTTTTTTTAATTCATTAAGAGGTAGCAATATGAAATGCCAATATCGCCACCAGATAACTTATATACTCAATTTCTGCATTGAAAAAATCCATTAAGGTGATATGTAGTGTCTGGTTTGAGTACTATACTCTATATTCATGGAAGTCTGTCTGGCAATATTCGTGTGTACTAAAAACACACATGCACATTTTTGCAGACTTGCAATTTAATATCTTTTCACCGTTAACTACAAAAATGCAGTTTGGCAACTGCTTTCATACACTGGGACTCCTACAGCAGTACAGAGAACGTACAGATGCTTCACCTAGAACTTGCAATACTGTGCATTGTGCAAATTGCCTAGGACCCCAATCCTTTCTGAGCAGCAGTTAGAAGAAAATTTGAGGGTTGAGTACAGATATCAAAATACAGATTTAAATAATTTACTCTTAAAAACACTCATATTTATAGCCTCTTACAGAAAATAAACAATTCATCTGATTATCAGATAGGTCCTCAGCTTTTCCAGTTCCAAGGTATACACAGGTCTCCATCCTGCAGCACGGAGTAGAAGTGTGAAATGCAAAGGTGCATGCCTTGTAGGTACGGTAACGATTCTTCCAGCAGCCGCTTACAGCAATCTATCATCTGTGCACTGGAAACGCTGGGCTCCTTATACAGCCGATCCAAAGAAAACTTCTCAGTGGAAGTACCAATGAGCTCTTTTTCTGTAATCATCATCCTAGCAAAGGAAGACAACATACAGGGACAAAATTAGAGCTTTCAAAAATCATTAACTTGAACCAACCTTTAAATAAGTACATTTACAGATTACATGCATGTAAACAAAGGTAACGCTTCTTCTTGTACAGGTATGGTACAGCTGTAATTTTGGTGCAGGACAACACCCACATCTGCCTCAGAAGCTAAACTACATATTCTTCCACGACCATGGGCAACACCATGCCTACACACTTGAAAGCCTGCATCATTCATTTTTTTTTTTGGTTTTTTTTTGCTAACAAGGTAATCAGAAAAATATCAAAAGAAAAATCCTGTGAGGTCTATTTTTAATATAAGGCATTGAAGTACTCAAATAACCTTGGAAGTATGAAGTTTAAGAGTAAAACTGTGTAACTACTCTGTCTTCTTAAGAACAGTACTCTGCATGCCATCAAATCTAAAGGATGACAGGCACCAGGTACAATCACTTTATGTGTATTAAATGCGTTAGTAACTTACTAATTGTAGAAAATATACAGAATATCAAATTCATAGCTTGCAGATGATTACTTCCATTCACTCCAAACAAAGAGTAGTAAGACAGGTCACACAGCAAATTCAAGCTCCTCAGAAGTAAAGTTAATTTGCAGAATTAATTAAGATCACTGAAACTGTGGGTTGTATGATGCAGATTCAGATTGGATTCAGCACGCTTATACCTCTACCACAATACAAAACAGCTACTTTCTGAGAGTGAGGAAGTGGATTCATACTAGAAGACTGACATTATCCGCACAAATAACACAATTTTGTGGAACAGCAATGTCCAAACTCTCCAGCACATCAGGTCATACAGAATTCCAACTATGCTATACTATTTACCACACATAAAACATTCACCTGCATGTTCAAAGTATATCTAGTACATCTCAAAATGTTTTCCTTTATCTCAGATCCCCTTTAAAGCCACAAGATGCTAAAGAAAATCAGAAGTACAGAAAGGGTTCTTTCAAGGAACCATTAAAAGGAAAAAGGGGTTTTCAGCTTCAATAAAGAGACACTAACAGAGAAATATGACATACCCACACACAAAAAGAAGAGGTGGTAAATACAGAGTGACTGTTTTGTATTACCTACAGCATAAGAACAAGAACGCCAAATGAGATCATCAGGCCATGGTCTATAAAATAAAGAATACCTCTTCCCTCCTTCAATATACACGTGGTAAACCTAATTCAACTCCGCAATTTGCTGCCACAGGATATTTTGAAGCCACGAAGTGTAAGCTGGCTCAAAAAATAATTAGACAATTAAGAAGGGAATAAAGATCTAGTGAATGCTTTTAACATGAGATAACACTTCCAGCTTCAAGTACTTAGTCAAGTACAGACTGTCAGAAACTGGAGAGGAGTACAGAGTAAAAAGAACACCATAATTTTGCCCCATTCACATAGCCTTTCCATAAGCTAACAGATGATGGGGTTTCAACAGACCTTTGATATGACCGAGTATAGCTGTTCTCAACTGTTTCATACAAACCAGCAATCATGCAACACACAGAAGAGCTGAGATATTTAGCTTGCCTCTTACATTGTTACAACACAGCTGCTTATACTCTGAGGGGAGCCCCACAGTTCTTTCACTGTTAACCTAAAGATGTCATTATTCCTGGATGAGTGTCTTTATGATGTGGGGTAACGTGAGGGTTTTGGGGGGAGGGGAGTGAGTTACCAGATGCAAATGCATACATTTGCTACAACATCCCTCCCAACCTCTATAGACAACACTTTTCCAGCTGTCACATACTGAAAGCTGGATAGAGAGCTATTCAACAGTTATCACTGGCAAAAATAACCAACCCTTCATAGCTGTGCTTGGATCATGGAAAAACTCCAAAGAACCTCCATGCTGCACCAAAGTACTCCCAGATGAGTCCTCCCAAGGAGTGAGATCTTAACAGAGCTAAAACCATAAAAGCTTTCAGTAAGGCTTATGCCTAAAATAACCTTCATAAAACTAGCTGGATCTTACAGATCATAGATACGCTCATGACAAAGTGTGAGGTTTCAGCAATTCATTAAAAGCTTTTGAAAGTAGAAAGATAAACTTGCAGTAACGACCTGTAAAAGGATAGTAACACTCAGCTATTCATCACAGTGTTTTATTCGAAATAAAATTGGTATCTCTACTTCACACTCTTCTTAATCCTCGAAGACACATAGAACATACAAGGTCAACAACAAAATTCACAAGTGTGCTGGATATTACATACTACTGGACTTAATGTTAAGTGCTGGTACTGAGACTCAGTGTAGTCACTCTCATCTCACAAGCACCTGTGAAAAAGTATCAAGGATGTATTTTTTCTATCATTCTATCCCTAGTTTTTCTCTTCCCCTTATTATGTGCTACCTAATCTTTTCCTCATCTAACTGCCAAACAACCAGAAATAACAATTCTCTAGTCAGTCTCAGCTGTTTTTAGTTTTATTTTGTCGTTTACTTGTTGCAATTTAAGTAGCATAAGTAGAAGTATGTTGCTTTTCTTACTCCATAGAAGAGAAAGAGTTTTCCTTTGTTAACAAAAAAAGAAAAACTCTTCTTTTGGGATGTCATTAAAAAAATGTCTTGTAGGCAAGGATCTGAATTTCTGAATAAAATTTCTGAATAAAGTACAAGTATTTCTATCAGCTGAAGGATGGGTATTTTCTGACAACTGTTTGTTCACAGAACACTTGAATTTTTAGCTTAGTAAAGCTGGTAAGTACAGTTTTACTTTAGAAACAGAAGTTATTTCCACCAGAAGAGCACAAATACTTTCTTCAAAGTTCTATAACAGCTACAAGCATACAAAGATTTTCGAAAGCTAAGCATACTGAGTCATATAAACACTTACTCTTCCTTTCTTTTCAGGTTCTCTCTTGCTTCCTGTGCTTTGGCAACAATAAACCATTGAAGGGTTGCTGGATCACAGACTGTTGGGATAGTAAAATGTCCAAATTCATGTAAGCTTGGTGTATATCTATCACTGTAATGAAACATGATGGAAATAAAAACCAAGGTATTTTTTTCATATAAGCATTGACATGAATTACTTTCAGAATGAATTCTAACTATGACTAAGAATCATATTCAGAATAGCTGGTAAAAATTAATCAGTTTTAGGCTTATGAGAACATAGAAGCATCATACATAAATCTTTTCATTACTTTTCATAAGCAACTCAGTCAAAAAACATCAAAAAATATACACCAATACCTTTATACTCAACTGCGTTGTTCTAATGGTGCACACCCTTTTACTGGTGGAGTTACTCTTTATGTGAGAGAACAACCGGAACATATGGAGCTCTACCTCAGGGTGGATTACAAGTGAGTTGAGAGCTTGAAGGCTAAGGATAAAAGGGCAGGGTAACATGGGTGACACCACTGTGGGTGTTTACTACAGGCCACCTGATCAGGAAGTCACCAAGACTTCTACAGACAGCTGGAGGTAGCCTCACAATCACAGGCCCTGGTTCTCCTGGGAGACTTCAACCACCCTGACGTCTGCTGGAAAGACAACACAGCTAGGCACAAACAGTCCAGGAGGTTCCTCAGAGCACTGATGACAACTGATTACATGGGTGGTGGATGGGACAACGAGGAGACGTGTGCTGCTGGACCTTGTGCTAACAAGACAAGTTGGAGATGCTAGAGGTTGGTGGCAGCCTTGGCTGCAGTGGCCATGAGATGGGCAGAGTTCAGGATCCTATGTGGAGGAAGCAGGGCAAGAAGTAGGACTGCAACCCTGGACTTCAGGAGAGCAAACTTTGGCCTCTTCAGGAACCTACTACTTGGAGGGATCCCACTGGTTAGTGCCCTAGAAGGAACATAGGTCTGAGAACTGGTTAATATTCAAGTGTAACTTCCTCCAATCTCAAGATTGGTGCACCCTACAAGTAAGAAGCCAAGCAAAGGGGGCAGGAGACCTGCACAGATGAGCAATGAGCAACTGGAAAAACTCAAAACAGAAAAAGGAAGTAAAGAGCACGTGGAAGAAGGAACAGGCCACTTGGGAGGAATACAGGAATGCTGTCAGGGTGTGCAGGGATGCAATGAGGAAGGCTAAGGCCCATTTCATTTGGAATTAAATCTGACAAGGGATGTCAAGAACAAGAAGAAGGGCTTCTTCAAGTACATCAGTAGCAAGAGGAAGACTAGGGAACCCTACAGACAAGAGAGAGTGTAGAAAGAAAGATTTTCCCTTAGTTGAGGAGGACAGGGTTAGAGATAATTTAAGCAAGCCTAATACCCACAAATCTATGGGCCTGGATGGGATGCACCACCCATGAGTGCTGAGGGAGCTGGATGATGTTAGTGCCAAGCCACTCTCCATCATGTTTAAAAAGTCACGGAGAGAACAGGAGGTGCCTGGGGACTGGAAGAAAAGCCAGTGTCACTCCAGTCTTCAAAAATGTGCAAGGAGGATGACCTAGGAAACTACAGGCCAGTCAGCTTCACCTCCATCCCTGGAAAAGTGATGGAACAGCTTCATCCTTATGCGTGGGGAAGAAAGGTGATCAGCAGTAAGTCAGTATGGATTTAAGAAGGGGAAAATTCATGCTTAACCAACTTGATAGACTTCTATGATGGAATGACTGGTTGGGTAGATGAGGGGAAAGCAGCTGGGTGGATGCTGTTAACCTTGAACTCAGAAAGGCTTTTGACACCATCTTCCACAACATCCTCATAGGTAACCTCAGGAAGTGTGGGTTAGATGAGTGGACAGTGAGGTGGACTGAGAACTCGCTGGATGGCAGAGCTTAGAGGGTTATGACTAATGGCATGAAGTCCAGTGAGAGGCCAGTAGCTAACGGTGTCCCCCAGGAGTTAGTACTGGGTCCTGTTTTGTTCAACTTATCAGTGACCTGGATGAAGTGACAGAATGCGGTCCCAGCAAGTTTGCTGGTCATACAGAACTGGGAGAGTGGCTCATACTTGAGAGGGCTGTGCTGCCATTCAGAAGGACCTGGACAGGCTGGAGAGCTGGCTGGAGAGCAACCTCACGAAGTTCAACAAAGGCTGAGTTGAATCTGCTGGAAAGTAGCTCTGCGGAGAAGGACATGGGAGTCCTGGTGGGCGACAAGTTAACTGTGAGCCAGCAGTGTGCTCTTATGGGCAGGAAGGCCAATGGTATCCTTGGGTACATTAGGAAGAGTGTTGCCAGCAGGTTGAGAGGTGATCCTCCACTCTACTCAGCCCTTGGTGAGGTCACACCTGGAGTACTGCGTCCAGTTCTGGTCTCCCCAGAACAAGAGAGACACAGAGCTCCTGGAGACAGAATAGCATAGGGCTACAAAGATGATCAAAGGACTGGAGCATCTGTGATATGAGAGAAAAGGGCCTGTTCATCCTGGAGAAGTCCAGCGAGATCTTATCAACGTGTATAAATATCTTAAGGAAGGGTATCAAGACAATGGGGCCATACTCTTTGCACTGGTGACCAGTGACAAGACGAGAAGCAACAAGCACAAACTGAAACACGGGAAGTTCCAACTGAATATAAGGAAAAACTTCTTTACTGTGAGGGTGACGCACACTGAAACAGCTGCTTAGAAAGATTGTGGAGTCTCCTCCTCTGGAGATATTTAAAACCCACGTGGATGTGAATCTGGTGCTGTGTGCTCTAGATGAACCTGCTTGAGAGGGGGGTCGGACTAGATCTCCAGTGATCACTTCCAACCTCAACCATTCTGTGATTTAAACCAGCACAACACTGTAAGATAAAAACTCTAATTTTGACTCTGAAGTTGATTAAAACGTGCAGAATGTCTTTCAGTCCGACTCCTTCTGAACCCACAAAAAGGCATACAAAACCTTGAGAACTAAAAGACTGACATGAAAATCTGAAATTTAGTTTTCTTCTTAGTGAAAGCAATAATCAGTGTAACAAAAAAATAAACAAAAAAAAAACACCACAGCAGTAAAAGCTCTAGAAGGAAGAAATCTTCCCTGTAAATACCTACCTTTCTAGAATCATTTGCAAGCCTCGCAGACTGTGAGGATGAAAACGTAGCCTACTGTCAAGTAATTTATTACAGAAAGAGTCCAGCGTCTCATAGTACTCTTCTAGAGTCAACAGCGGTTGCAGCTCTTCTATGTATATAACTTGTATGCCTCCCAGAAGTTGGCTTATCCGATCTTCCAAAAACAGCAGCCTTTTCTGAAGTTTGTAATAATTTGGCAGTCTTTCAAAAATCTGTGCAGGCACACATACAAACAAACATTTCCTGTGTTACACAGAACATTGTAATTGTAAGAAATTAAAAAAAAAATAAAATAAAAAAGGAGACACTGAGCAGTGCAAACACGTGATCCAAGGGAAAAAATTAATCAAACCATATAAAAAAATGAGAAATATTATATATATACATTTTGGTGCAAGATATAACAGAAAACTGTTTCTAAGTATTTTCAGTATTTACACTATAAAGGCACCAAAAGGCCATAACAAGATAGATGGATGTCCTTTATCTCTCAATCTATGGAAATTAATACTCCCAGATCCCTAAACAATTCTAATTTAAGGCCTACGTAAAATGTTTATCATCACAGTTACAGTGGTAGAGGTATTCTACACACTGTTAACATGAGTGGTTTTGACAGACTAATTTACATCAACTCTTAAAAAAAAAAGGCAGAGTCTCTGTTGCTGGAACAAGCTCTTTCTAAGGATTTGGTTCGTAATATTTTGTCTGGAGTCTGAAGGGAGGGGAGGGAAGGATGAGGCTCCTGATTTACAAATCTACACCAGAAAAGATTAAGAAACGTTCAGACTTGTGAGTCAAGACACAGAAGGTAGGTGACAGGGAGAAGGCTGGAACAGGGAAGAAAGTGAAAAAGGAAAGTCCATAGTAGTCACTTCCTACCACCTACCCAATTATTACTAGAATGCATCTTTTCATATAAAAAAAAATCCTGCCACTGTTCTGAAATTGTTACAATCTCTCTAGAAATGACAGAGCAGTGGAATCCAGGCATCTTTTGACATAACTTCCATTGGTTCAGCATTTGCATTTCTTGTATGGAAAATCTGTAAAAATCCTCTAGGTACCATTATGATAAACCATTTTACAGACCGATGTGGACATTATTTTATTACTTCCTTTTCGTTTTGGTTTTTGTAATTCCTAAATAAAGCACTAGAACATAGGAACGCTTCCTAAAATGGGTTAGAATGTGACAGAAGTTTCTACTCTCTAAAAAACAAGTAGCTAACCAGTCTCATGAAGATCTTCATCAACTTTTTCTGTTTATTTTTTAATCTTTGGTGCACTTTTAAATAAAAAGCCCTTGTTTTCAGGTTTGAATACAGACCTCTTTGACTTCCAAAGCAAATACCATCACCACGCTTGCTTTGCATAACAAATTAGTTTGATTTACATCTAATCAGGAATACAACTTTGTTTGTTAGCAGGAGCAGCAGTAAAGATCTGACAGAGATTGTTAGTAAAAATACATCATAGGATTAAATTTGGGATGCAATATACACAGTTATGCTAAACATAGCAGCTGCATTATTTCCTTTAAATTACTCATCAGTGATCTGCAACAATTAATATTTTGGTTACAGTTTAAGAAAGGATGTCATAGCAAACAGCATCACTTGCTTTGAAATCTTACTTTGGTCCAGTGATGGTGAACATCCATGGTCCCCAGCATTATGTGGCCTGCTGCACTCATACCTGAACGGTCTGTGAACACCACTGTGCGCCCTGAAGATTGAAGAAAGCTCTTTACTAAGTTTGGTTATTGTAATTATTCCCTAAGGTAGCCACGTATGTCATAAGCAACACATTTTCACTGCACAAAAATAAACAGGTGCTTTCCTTCTGTTCAGAATCTGAAAAAGTGATTCTTGAAAACTCTGGTTCCAGAATTTTTCCATGCCAGCCTCAACTAGCTTTTATTTTCTGTTTGAACAGATAGACTTGATAGATTTTTAGTTAACCTTTTTCTTACAAAGACAGTTCTTAAAAAAAGAAAATTGCAGCAGACTGCATCTTCAAAGAATACGTACAAATAATACATACCCAAAGAAATATATGCTGTGTGCTTAAAGTACGTGGAAAAGGTTGGTCAAAGAACTATTAGCACAATCATCCAACGCTATTTCCACAAAGCTATCTGCAGCATTCAAGCCATCAGGAATGCCTTCGTATTAGGTTTTTTATTGGCTTGCTTTTAAGAAAGAATAAAAGCAACATAGAAGTCTAATGCTATTTTTAAGTGTAGCACAGAGATTCTCAAGTATTCTTGAGGGAAATAGCAGAGGCAACTATTTATCAAAATAAACTTCCAACAGATGTCTTCAGCGTGATACATTAGTCTGCAAGACAAGGCTTAAATAGAAGATCTGGAAAGTACCAGACACCAAACCTAAAGATTGTAAAAAACAAAAGCAAATAAAACAACTTAATTTCACTGCTGTAAAACAATAGATGACAATTTCTATATTATGCAGCATTAACATTACATGGCTGGAACTGTCTAAAATCACTAAATATAATGCTGCGTGCTGAACCAGCTGTAAGTTAAAGTAATGCTACTAGTAACTCCACAATAACTCATTTTTGAGATCAAAAGGGCAGGTGTTGTCTTTGTAACGAATCATACTGGACAACTGTAAAAAGGGAGCATCATTCCATCTTTGATGTTAAGCTCCGCAAGAACTACAAGGATGAGACTTGAAATAATTAGGGATCTCTATCCAGGAAAAAATAGACAAAAGAACAGAACATAATGGCTTCCAATTATGAGACCAGTTATTACTCTTCAAGAGTCTAGATGGAAAAGGCAGCTAATTACGTTGAAAACGTACCTAGGGGAAGAAAAAAAGCTTCTCCTGAACCCATCTCTCTACCTCAGCATACAGACACTTCAACCTGCTCTCAGCAATCGTGTTTCCAAAATTCTTGAGAGTGAGCAACACTGACTTCAAGACATCTAGTCCATCCTCTTACCCCAAGGCAAGACCAACTGTACTTTTAGGTACTCACAATTATTTGTCCAGTATATGATTAAAAACAGTTTGAAAATGGAGACTACAACAGGGTCACAGGACAGACATCTCTAGCACTTTACATCCTTACCATGCTTCGGTAAAGAAACTAACTTGAAATTTGACACAGTTTATACCTATTATTTTACTCACTCTGTCTTTTGACAAAGGATTAAGTGAACCCTCAAATGAAAGCCACTCAAAACTGAGTATCTGGAAACAGGCAAAAAATGCTGGAGCTACAATTACAGCAAACAGCTACTGCCAAGGCCAAACAGCTATATCAAAAAAAAAATAGTATGTCAGATTTACAGAATTTTATTTTTTCCTGAGAAGGGACTTCATTGTGAGTATTTTATTGAACACACATGATAATACGATTTTAAAGGGATTCTACGAAGTCCTCCTTATACTGAACATGTTAGAGAACCAGCTAGCATTTTTTTCTTGAATCTACCATGAGTAACAACCTGTCGTTCCCCACTATCCTTTCAAAGACAGTCTGAATTTTTTGCATTTATTTGTAGTACTTAGTCTTGTGCCTTCACCTCACTCCTCTTGCATTTATCAAGAAGTAAAAAGCTGAGTGTAGAGAATGCACTGTAAGGAAGGGTCACTGAAAACAACCAGTAGCTTAAAATGTAAATTTTCATCAGCTTTTTAGTAAGCCTACACGTTTTTTTGCAGTTATCAAAAGCACTCATGAAAAAAATACTACAGCTCCCTTGTCAGAGAAGAGTCATGCTAACCTCTGAATCAATACTCTATTAGGATATATGGAACAAGTAGTGGAAATATACCTTTAACATTCTTTACTACTTCAGGTCTCTGTTGGACTAAGCGACCTAGACTATGCAGTTGGCTACAGCGATGAGCAATACCCCAGCTTCTTTGCCACCTGGATAAAAATACAAATGAGAGCATTTCATCTTCAGCTTTATAAAAAAAAACAAAAACAAAACAACAACAACAAAAAAAACAAACACAAAACAACAACACACAGGCAGAGATACAGACAAGAACCTTACAACTCAAATGACTCAAAGTAACACTTCTTCGACAGTGATAAAAGCAAAGACCTATCAAAAAGCTGTCCATGTCATGCTATTTGAAGAGATAAAAGTCTAAATAAAATTTCACAATCTCCCTTGAAATAAGTGCCAAGAACAATACGGGATAAAAACAGATAAGAGTAAACTCGTCTAAGAAAAATAAATATAAAAGCTGGTGGATGGAACAGAATTTGAAAATTAAACCTCTTGCCTAATAAGAAGGGGGTTAGTTAGCAAATAGCAACATACGAGCCAGGATTCAGTCCACTCATGTGGCATGCAGCTTCTGTTTGCACACTGTGTAATGTTTGTCTAGAGCAGCAAATATTGTATATAAAGGATGTTGTCTTTTAAGTTCCTAACTCAAAATATCATGATTCTAGCATTAAGTTGCCCTTTTCTTTTTTTTAAAACCACATTTGGAGTGGAATAAGTTTTGCTTCTATAATATCATCTTTGTTAAACCACTCAGTAGCCAGGTGTTTTATTAGTGACTTTAATAAACATAGTTTTGACATCTCTTTCCATCATGCAGAAGAGACAAGCTATTAATTAATAATTTCAAAAAGTGTTTAAATTAAAAAGTTGTCAGCATATCAAAAAACAGATGTTTTTCATATTTGGAAAAATTGCTGGCTGATATTGAACTATCTCAAAATGGGAAATTGGCATTCCAGGATTGTGCTGTGCCTGGCTGGGATGGATTTCCTTATCTTCATAGCAGCCCTGTGCTTTGGATTTTTGGCTAAGACCAAGGACAACATGCTGATGTTTTGGCTATTGCTGTGCAGCACTGGCACAGCACTGAGGTTCTTTTTCTTCTGCTCTGCCCCCATCAGGGAGCAGACTGGGGGTGGGCAAGGTGGGAGGACTCCGGATGACCAGAGGGACACGGCCATTCCTTGTTATGGCGTTTGTCTTCCCAAGCAACCATTATGAGTGCTGAGGTCTAAACATCTGCCTCTCGATGGAAAGTACTGAATTAACATTCAATGAACAAAGCTAACATTCTCATTCAACCTTTAAACACCAGAGCATGAGGCTAGAGTATCACAAACAGTAGCTTCCTATTAATATATTTATTTTTCAGACCCCTGATACTTGAATTCTTTCCTAAATGATGGAAGGTTAATGTAACTCCTGGAAGGCTCCTAACTCCTCAAAACATAGCAAACCTATGTATTTAGTTACAAATGTTAGGTCTTTCAGAGCAGATTGTAACAGGGAACTTTTGTCCCGCTACAGTTCTTCCAGAGAAATCTTGTTCAATGCAATAACAGTATCATACATGAAATACAGCTGCTTTGCCAGAACAGGCCTTTAAAACTCATGGCACCGTATTACACAATGCCTCACTTTGGCTGTTTTAATGCAAATCCAACTAAGGTAATTTATTACCTGATATCCGAGAGCTGGAGTTGATGAGAAAGTTCAAATTTTAAACGTTCAAGTTCTTTTCTAAGTGGCAAACTCTTCTTTAGCTTTTTAACTGCACTTGCTTCATTATCATCTAGCCATGATCTAAAAAAAAAAAAAAATCCAAAAAAAAAAAAAAGGAAAAAAGTAGAAAGTTGAATTTTCTCTCTCATACAAACAGTACATCTTACTGCTAACATTGATGTTTTATTTCAAGTTACAAGGTAAAGAGATTTTTTCTTTCTAAAGTAGAGGTCAAAAACTCAAAGCACTAACTGCTTGCCATTAAAATATTTACAAAGGTAAACCCGCTGCTCTGTATCTTCAGGGGAACTAGGCAATCAGATTGAACGGAAGGACTTTGACAACGTTACAACTATAAAACTTTGAGAGGTGTGAAATGTGTAGAGCAGCAGATTAGTGCTATTTATTTAGGCGAGCTGCTTCAGACATCAGTGCTTTAATGAAAGAAGTTCCCAATCATCTGTCTTTAATAAATAAATTATCCTAAGAGACTGTCAAATAAAGGAGGTGGTACTAAAGTTACACAACTCTCAGAGAGCTGGAATGAGCATGGATTATGCAGGTCAAAGTTCTACCGTTCTTTTGTCAGTAATCACAACCCTGGAAACACGACTTACAGAGCACATCTAAGGCCTTGAATAAACAGTTCATTCTATTTTTAGGAGAAAGCTACTCTTTAAGAGATTTAGCCTTGGCTGATAGCATGAGCTTATTCCCACACACTCATTTTTACAAATGAATACTTCAATTCTTATAAAGTATTCTAAGGGAATAAAGCAAACAAAAAAAGGAGCCCAGCGCCAAATGGCTAGGTATTAAAACCAGACTGTTAATAGATAACTGCAATGTGTCATTTCTTGTCAATGTGTAAAAACAAGTAAAAATGTTATACACTTGCTAAATCCCAGTTAATAAATGTTTTACAGTAGTACGTAGTATAGTGATTTTTGTTGTGGCATGCTAGGTAGGATAACAGGTATTTTTTATTTTCCAATGACAGAAGTTTCATCGTTATAAAAAAAGTTTTTGATATGCTGATTTTAACCTTGCCCCCAAAAGGAGCACATACAGTTTATAAACAACCAGCTCCTAAATTATAACATGCTGCATATAACACAAGTTTAGTATTTGTAACTGATGGTAGACCCTTAGAAGCACAATGCTATGCCATCTGGCAACTTGAAACACTCTAACCGTAATTTTCATGTATTACCTCCTTTCACGTATTATTAGGTTACAAAAATAAAATCAAATACAAGCCTTACATACGTTAAAGTAGTTTCCACTCTTTGGGCTTGTTCTAGGTCTTCCTCAGGATCCTTGAATCCAGTAAATGAATAGTAAGTTTTATCCCATTTGATTGGTCTGTTCAGTGTGCTTTTTGCTTCCTTGTGGGGCTGAGAGTTCACATTCAAACTCTGAACATGCTCCGTAGACAAACTGCAGGAGTTGAGAATATCTAATACTGTGCTCAGGAGATCTCTAGTATGTAGTGTAAAACTGACGGCTCGAAACCCTAAAAAATTCAAGTCATAAAAATTAGCATTATTTAACTGATTTACTTTAACTGCATTCACATTTCTCTCATCTTAAAAAAGTAAAAACAAGGGTGTGAATATGCAGAAATTATTATGGCTTTGTTTTTTCAATATTCACTGCAAAATTCAAAGCAGTTTAACCTTTACAGTCATCTATCTCCAGAACTATAAACATTTTTAAGTATCTGAATCATTGGTCAAATCAGAAATCTAGCCGCAGATGCTGCAAAATCCAAGAAAATATTATTTTGCTTTAGCAGTGGCAGTGCAACAAAGAATTCGTATTATTACTGATCATCAATTTGCATGGAATTTGCGCTTACACACACTGGCTAAAATTAAGGTCCAGTAGTTAAATTATTGGACTAACTGCCCAGTAAGAAAGCAAGCCAGTTCTGGAGTCAGAAGCAGAATGCTGCTGACAGTTTAACTGGCATAAATAGACTGGACATACTGCTACTATTTTCTTGAAACACAGTTATGATTTTGTTTTCTGGCACTAGGGTCCCTCACAATTTGCTCAAGTTTTTGACTAGCAGAATACAGAACATAAAACTCATCTGTTAGATAAGGCATTTTGGTTCATGAGAGACAAATACGTAAAACAATATTAATCAAAACCTCTATTCTGAGCTTGGCAATATTGACTGTAGTCTCAAAGCTAAGAGAACACGTGGTGAATTAAAGCTTCAGATACTACATACAGCATCTGCTTTCAGAAGAAATTCCTGCTGATCCTATAGGCACCCTGATATTGAGTACCACATATTGTCTGCAAAACAAGGACCCTCTTGTTGTTCAAGTTAAACATAAATAATGTATTTAAAGCACAACAATTATCACTTACATCAAACTGTGTTTTTTTTTACTTCATCATACTGCAATTTAACCTCAACCTCAAATTCTCATTCTTTCAGTCCTCTTAAAAGTTCAAGATGTTTAATTAAGATGGTCTTAGCTGGTCTGATCTAATACACGTTTTCATGGTTTGACAGTATTTTATTCAGTTGAAAAGTCATCATGGCTGCACAAGGCATCAAAGACTGCACAAAATTCTTTCAAGATTTTTAATACAGTAAGATACATTCTGCATGATATAAAAGCACCTGAAGTACTGAAGGATTCTTGAACATTAGAAGAGTTTGGTTCTCTTTCTCTTACATAAAAAGTAAGCTGAGTTGGTTTAAAAGAGCGAAATCCTGGTTTCTGCAGATTCTCCAAGTAGCCATTTAACCTCTTCAGAGAGTTTTCATTTACTTCCTGTTAAAAAAAAAAATCAAACATACACAAATGGGCCAGTTCTCATCTAAACCTTTTTAATCTCAAATGCAAAATTAGCATTTTTTTTTATTTTTATTTTTTTAAACAATCTGTCACCTGCCTCTGAACAACACAGTTCATATTCTCAGCATAAATGATTGTTTACCTTGCATGAATACGCTGTATGATGTACATACTTGTACATTCCTGTGACAGATGCCCCAAGCCCATTTTTAGGGCTTTCAAAAAAGGGCTTAAGAAAAGAATCCATTGATTTCAAATATGATGCACAGCATTTCAAGCAATATTATAAGTTAAATTGAAAAGACTCCATATGCTCATTACAAGAATTAAACAGAAAATATGACTAATAAAAAAAATGTTTAAGGATCTATCCTTGCTAAAAATAAATTAAGCAGTGCATCTTTTTGTTCTTTTGTAACTGTATTCAGTTGTAATGCTACCCCACCCCAAAAGCAAGGAAAACAGCACACTTCCATCCTTGATGCATGCCACATTTACAAAGAAATCCCACTGTAAGATTTTTACCCTTTCTTTGGGATGCTGGCCAAAGAAATCTGGATGCACAGCAAAATAGAAAGGTCTGAGAGCATTGATGGCATCAGCTCCTGACAACGTTCTTGACTGAATAATGCATTGTAGCAATATCTTCTCCAGACATAACCTAACAAAATAATAAAATGTTTATGTATGATGCAACCAATCAAGTGACAAACTGGTATAAATTACATTAGAATGTGACAGAATGGAGTAAACATTCTCAATTGCAAGTGTAATCATTTAAAAGTGTTATTAGAAGTCTGAGTGCTGTTTTTTTTTTCCCCTTGGGACTCACAAAACTGCATTTATACAGAGCAAACCTAACAGGTTCCAGACACGGTGGATGCTAATGGCTGATTAAAGACATTTAAGTACAATAACATTTTCCTCTAAAGTAGGCTCAAATGATAATTTCCCAGTCAAGCAGTTAGAATGATAAAGACTGGCTTTAGTGGTATTTTTTTGCAGCTGTTTCTAAAAACCAGCCCTTACGTACTTTTGAACCTCCAAGTTAAAAACCCAGCCCCCCATTTTTTCTTCAAGCAGTGCCAAGGAGTATTAAATTTTTCCCAGAAATAATAACCGCAATTCAACCAAAAAGTTCTGCATTTGTTTGAGGGTCACATAGTCATGTTAATTTTGAAACAGATTCAATCTAATTTCCCAAACATTTACTCCTTTATAGGAGACGTCTAGTTAAGATGACAGCACTTTTTTGTCCTTTGATCTTCACTGAAAGACAACAAAACCGAATTTCAGTGGTAGGAAAAGAAGAGTGTTTCAAGTAAGACCACAAAGAAAAGTCAAATTAAAGTTCTAGGAAGTAGAGAAAGTGCAAAAGATTGACTACGCATAAATCAAACAACAGTTCTGCAAACTGCACATTTGTGCAACAGAAGACTGAAATGGAAGAAAAAGCAAGTTCTGAATTAAAGACCACCACTATTTCCTGCCACAGCTTAAAGCTGATATTCAAGTCAACATACACTACAGCTGTATTTAAAAATGGCAAGAAGAGGCAAAGTGTGAATACTGAATGATATATTTCCCCTTTACCTGATTTCACAGGGTAACAAATTCAACAGGCTAATCATTTCCTCTGTGATTAACGTTAATTTTGTTTTGCAACTCAGAAGGGTAGGGACTATGCTCTGTTAAGCAATACAATACTGTTTCACTCCTCACAGTAACATTCATTCAAACTGTAAGCCCCAGTAAGAAATATACAGAAGATAAGAAATAAAGCTGCTTCAATTCACATAAAAAAAAAAAAAAAAAACACTATGTTAGTAATATTAAGCAAGACTGTTTGTTCAGAGAGCTATTTGCTCAGCATCCTACACCAAAAAGCCAACCTTGGACACAGAAACACGTGAGACTCTTTCTGACTGCTCTCATTAATTAAAACCCACCCCCAAAAAGCCCTAAGTCTGTGCTCAGACAGTATTTCTCATACTGGCAAATGAAACAGCTGAGTTGCTAAGCTGATGCTATGACCCTTACTTTACCTTTCTTCTGTCAACCTTTTGAGCTCTTCAATTAGAAACATAAAAGCAGTTAAAGCTAATGGTTTCTGTTTCTAAGAGGAAGGCAAATATTGAATTAGCAGGTCTTAAAAGTCAGCTTGCTGAAAACAGGAGAAGTTTGTGTAGAGAAGTGGGAAGGAAAACCTGTAACGTAAGAAGAGTGATGAAATTTCCAACTGTTAATGACTAAAGATAATTTTTGTGAGTGTGATTTAAACAGAAGACAGAAGTCTGTCATTTATTACTGGCAAACATTTCTACCTCCTTGCTGGACATGTCTGAAGAAGGCTCTAAGATTAGTCATCACTATAGCTCACAATCCTACTCGAAACAGCAGGAGATGGTGAAGTACTCTGGCAATATCATGCTTTTATGGAGAACAAAAGCTCTCAAAAAGAATGTGCCAGAGATGCTCGGTGACACAGGAAAAAAAACCTCTGCCTGTCCTGGCAAAAAGAAAACAAAGCACACCAGATGGGAAGTCCACTTGGTCATAGGCTTTATTATTTTGAACACGGAAAGCCAAATGCAACTGTTTTGCTGAGAAAAAAAAAAAATCTTTCATATTTGTCTTTTGTAGCAAGTGGACACGACAGTGAAAAAAATTATTTCCAGCAACAACAACAAAAAAAGTGAATCCAACCAGTTACCTATCTGATGGCAGCTTTTGATTAACAGCCACATAAGAAACCCACATCCTTCTAGGCCTGGCTGCTGGGAAGAAAGAAGTAAAGGGTTTGGTTCTTGTTTCACCTTGTTTGTACACTGTATCCCACATTTACCCTCCAGCTACATTGCACGCTGCTTCCAGTAGTTTGGGGAAAAGTTCCAACGCACCTGGAAATTATTAATCATTTCCATCTGCTATTCTACAAGAAAAATGTCCAAGTATGGACAACTTCAGTGCACTTGTTTTGTATCTAAACAACTCTGTCATGCTAGTAGGAAGGCTCAGGATGCCAGCCAAAAGTCTATTTTGAACTTGCTTTAAAGAGAAACGCTCAAAGGCCAAAATTAGTCTGCAGTGACAGGAGGAAGAATTCATTCACCGAAAATGAAAGACAGAACTCTGAGGCATCCTTCAAGTGAAGTGACAAAATATATGAATCGAAATGAATTTAGGGAGAGAAAATGCAAGGAAGATGCTTATGGCTTCTTGCAGAAGGGGCAACAGATTGTTCCCAGAGCTTCATGCTGATTTGAAGAGCAGAGAAAGGCTTCATGTTAAAATCAAGGTCATAACCACTTCGAGGGCAGCCGTCTCCGCTCCGTGAAAGACGTGAAACACAATCTCTCTTAGAATACATTATGCAATCGTATGCTAGGGCAGATTTAATTTATTGATTAATTCTCTTCAGCTTTCTTTCTACTTTTTCTTCACATCTCCCTGAAGCCTGACTTTTTGCACCGAAAAGCTTTGTTAAATTAAGCTCGCTCCTACAGACACATTCACTCATTTTTAAATACTGAGCTTTAATAACTCAGTAATACAGTAATATATTGGATACTGTATTCAGGTTTAGAATACCACTTTCTCATAATTAAGCTATTTAGGCCTTGCTTTGTTTAGAGCCTTTTTAGCATCTTGCTTGAGGACAAGCACATAGCTTTTGGGCATTTTCAGCTCTGGATGCTCTGTTGATAGCTTCAGGCTGTACAGATGAAAAAGCCAAAGAAGTAAGGATTAAACAAAAAAACACCTCATCAATTTTACATGCATGCAAGTCATAAGCAAACTTTTAAACACATACTAATTAAGTCAGCAACATGCCTTACCTTCTCACGACTCTCAAACAGCAAAACATTTCAACGACTCAATGCTCAAGAAAGCTTTTGGCCATCCATTCACTTAAAAAAAGTAAAAGAAACTGTTCAGTAGCGAACATGAGCACAGACCAGCATTTCTCTAAATCTTGGGTGATAACTTTTAAAGTGAGAACAGCAGTACAAAACTGAGAAATTGCACAAAAAAAAAAGTTTCACAAAGAACAGTTTCCTGTTTGCTCTGCAAACAGACTGCAAGGAGTCTAACAAACATCAAGAGTTTCTACTGTGTTTTGATTAGAAGATGAATAAAGATGTTCTAGTTAGGGGAAAAAAAATTGTATTGAAAGCGTTTCCCATTTCTCCTGATGTTCAGTTTTTGTCTTAAGTATGGAAAAGAAAATAAAGCTTTTCAAGCATTAGCATGCCCAATTAATGGAATTCCAGGTAATTTTTCACTCCACTAAGTCCAAAACTTTCAAACAAATGATGGTATTTTAAAACTTATTTGCCAAGTATTTTATTGGACCGAGACATAGAAGCAAAGGGAAGGACTGTTATGCAATAACTCCTGTTAGCCTTCTGAAAAGTTTGCTGGCACTCACAAAAGTTAATCAGCGTTTTCTACCAGAGAGAAGAATCCGTATTTCTGGATTATCCATCCGTAAACTGAGCGTTTTCAAACAGGAGATAAACACTCAGCACGGCAGACTGCAGCCACACACCTGATTATGGGGGATTAAGAGGGAAGATCCACACGGGCAATGTTTCCTCGTAGGTTTTCGGTGCACTTTTAAGAATAATTTATTGAAAAAACTTGGCTTTTACAGCTTACAAAGTAGCGAGCACCCCAAGTGTGTTATTTCACCTGGGGTGAGGCATTACCTGAGGGACACCACCCTGGCTTCCAACGGAGCATCAAAGTTACTTTGTTTAGCAAAACAGCTGAAGTTTGAGACGTGCATCTTGCTGAGATTAATATAGTTTATTTAGAGTATGTTATTACGTGCAGGTAGAGGCGAGATATGCTGAGATAAATTTCTCCAGCTTTTAAGTTACCTTCTGATTATCATCCAGGAGAGCGGGACAATGGTCCGTTCGCTTCTTAGTGCCTGTGGCAATGGTATTAAGCGAGGATTTTCCCCAGGAGCAGCAGCAGCAGGCTCCCCGGTGCTGGGACAGCTCTCCCCCTGCAAGTTTACCTCCGGTTATTTGGACAGGGGATGGAAAAAAAACACCAAAATCTCCCTAATCTGCGGCGACGCTTTACATAACCAGACAAAAGCATCATTGTTCCTGCTCCAAACGCTCCGCTAACCGCTCGGAAGCCGTCCCAAATTAAAACCTCAGGCTCCAGGAGGGGGGGGGGGAGCTTCCCCCCTCTTCCCCCTAAGGACACCTCAGGAGCAGGGCGCCCCCCGCAGTCCCCCGAGCAGGACGCGGGGGTCGCCGCCGCCGCTTCCACCGCCTTGTGTCGGGGCTTACCTGCGCCTGGCTCCTCGGGCAGCCCTCGGAGAGCCGGCAACGAGCACGGGGCGAGGCGGCCCGGCTGCTGCAGCCCGAGCAGCCCCGGCCCTGCCCGGCCCGGCCGCACGGCGCCCCCCGCTCCTGCCCCTGCCCGCCCAGCCGCCCGCCGGGGCCCGGCCCCCATCGCCCGGCGCAGCCCCGGCCCCGGAAACGGCGCCAGGGGGCGGGGCCCGGCGGCCGCTCAGGGGGGTTCCCGCTGCGGGCGGGGGCAGCGCATGCGCGGCGCGGAGGCGCTGAGGGGAGGCGATGGCTGCCCCGCCTCATGGGGGGGGGGAAAGGGGGTTGAGGTGTGTGGGGGTAGCGGCACATTTCAGGGTGTTGGTTTTGAGTAAAATGCATCGGAAACAGCCAAAACAAGCAGTTTTACTTCCACAAAACTAGAGTGGTGTGGAATTTGGTGGTGGCGTTGAGCACTTTTTGACAATAAGTTGGGGCCAGGTGAAATGCGCGCAAGGGCTTATGGCTACCGCGCTCCACCTGGTACCGGTGCCTTGGTCACAAACCTGCATCCCACCCTTGTAACCTCCATGATAACACTCCTGCCATTCCGCCCTGTAACACACAACGCAAAGATGCTGTCCCTTCCCACGTGCAGGGTATCCTCAGCTCTTCCCTTTCCCATTGCAGGAATAGCCCTGAAACAAGAAACATGCTCTTTCCCAAAGCGCACGTACGAGTTATCAAAGTACTCACGTGCACCTCCAATTCCCTTCATTCTGCAGAAAGACAATACCGAGTGGGCAGAGAATCAGCCACGAGCTGTGCAGTCACCAGAGGAAAAGCAAAAAGCTGTTCTCCTGCAACTCCCAACAGCAAACACATTTATACACCTATTTCGCTTCCAAGGTACTTCATGCTGCTACAGAGACATTCAACCCCAGAGCAAAAACATCTACGGCTGATGAGTATAAGAACAAAAAGAGATTAACTATTAGGGACTGTCACTATTCGCATACACTCTATTGCATTTCTGGGCAGAAAAGGCTAAAAAAGAGGGCTGACAAGTTTAGGAACTACGTGTAGTTCAGTGAAGCTTTAAATCAAGTTAACACTCGCACAACCCTTGGGGGATTTGCATAATTTTCATAATGCGCGGCATGTTTTTGCCTCCTGATAGAAGCCATCCGTTATGTAAGCAAATTGGTTGCATAATTATGCAGATGGGAAAATAATTTTAATTGATTCAACAGAAAAGTGTGCTGTTCATTTGTTCTTTTCACCTGGGATTTCTTTTTTACTCTGTGAGGAAAAAAATAAATTGGGAGAGATAATCAGGAGGTGATGCTGCCAGATACCAGCTCCGATGCACGGGGTACCTGTTTTCTAACAGATCCAGGACAACAATCTCCTCCCACCCTTCTGAGCACAGGAAGGAAATTCCTCCTTCTTAGCCAAAAGCTCTCACCATTTATTGTTTATGAATATTGTCACAATAGTCCGTGGGAGTAGTACTGTGGCTTTATTTGGTCTCATTCTCCTTTATAGGTTGGGCTTACCTGTCATTTTGCACGGTTCCTCCCACTGGCTCAGCAAGAATGGACTTTAGGCGTGAATGTATTTCAGCAGAAAGGCTGGAGGTCCATAAAAACAACTCTACACCTTCAAATAATTTCTATTATGTGGCACACACATTTCCGAATGGAAAGGTTACTTTACAACAAAGTTGTAAACATCTAACAATCTGAAAGAGTAGGTATTTTGACTACTTCTTGACCCCTAACAGAAGGAAACATAAGAAGGAAACATCACAATGTGAGAATTGTGAGAATTTGTTTTTGTAGTGGAAAATTCCACTGACCTTGCATATTCCAAAGTGATTTTGGAGGCGTAACAGTGGGGAGAGAGTATGTTAAGCAGATAAGGGGACAGTAGAAGGTCCCACTGTCCCCAGATTAAGGAAAATAGCTAAGAAAAACGAGATGAGCAGTGCAAAATCAGTAAAAACAAAAAATCACAAGCCCTCTAGTCACAAGAGAAGAAAGAGAAAAAAAAAAAAAAAGGAAAAGGAGAAATAAAAGGTTGGTCAAATAAAATTGTATGTATATGGCATAGTAATAAGCGTTGAGTAGTTTGTGAACCTGCAGTACTCAGCAAGTAAGAAAATGGGAGGAATTAAGCATGAGGTAATAAGGCATATAAGGTTATGATACACTTTTTGCTGTGCTCTGCTGCTTGCAGGACACCTGCCACTGCAATTGTGAATAAAAATGTTAGTTCACCGAGATCCTCGCCTGAACCTGTATTATTGGCTGGAGATTGTTTCTCACAACAATAAAGTTGCTAGGAACAGCTACAGAGCCCTTTTCTCATTGCTCCTTTATTTCTTTCCTCATCCTCAGTCTGCAGGGAAGTCAAAAAGTGGTATCAGTTTCTCCAGTCCCATTACACCCAAAAGCACAGAAGCTCTGAGGCCAACAACGTCACTAGTAGCTTTTGATACCAGATGTGATACCAGTAATTTTAGAGGAGATGCAGAAGGGTTAAGACTAAAAAACGTAGACCTGAGATTTGCCACAAGATAAAGATACAAGATATATCCAGAGAATGTTGAAAAGATAAAAACGCGAACCAGCAATCGCTCTTAATGTGGCCATATTTTCCTAAGCTGAGGAGTATGGCACGAAGATTTTGGTAATTAAATGCTTGATTGCTACACCAGAGACGTTTCATTTTACTCTCTCCCCCCATGTGCGAAGTCTCACTAGCATCCCATTAGGATTCCTCAGCGAGCTGAGCGCAGCACACAGGCCGTTCCCCCAGATCCTCCACTCGAGCCTGCAGTTAAAACTGGAAGCTGGCCATGTCCACAGCTGGGAGCTTCAGCCCAATTTATTCATGAGCATTTGCTACATTATGTGCTATGGCATGGTGAAAAAATGCATAATCGGACTGATTTCACACATTCTTAACCTCCTCACACAGTATATCGTACTTGAGATCCTTGTAGTAGTTCCTAGATATTAAAGTCTCTACGTCACTGGCCTATGCTTTTGCATACCTATGAATATTAATTATAGAGATCTGAATGGAATTAAATATTTTAATGGCAACACTGATTCACAGGTGTTTTGGATATTTCACATAAAGAATAAAACCCAACATTTATTAACATATTAAAAATTCCTCCAGAACGATACCTCCCTTTACTACATTATAAAACATCGTAAAACCATCAAGCTTCTATCTCCAGCTTCTCACCTCTATCCAAGAGGTGGGTTAAAAAACTCTCAAAACTATCAACACTTTGAAATAAAATCATTGCAAGTCTTCCAAACTACATTACTCTGTTTTAGTTACAAGAAACTGTCCATACCTTACAAGGTATGCTCTTGGAAAGATGACATTTGTTATCAGTGAAAATTGAAGATTTCCATAAAGAGAAAGGGCATTTCTCATACACCATTAACTAACAGCATACTGAATTAGAATAGCTTTGTCTAGATTTAGCTACTGAGTGCAGCATAGGATTATTTTTTTTGAAGCACTGTCTCTGTCTGCAAATACCTAACTATACCTTTTGTCTCCTATATGAGAAAAAGAAGCTATCAAATGAGTTGCTAGTCTCTAACAGAGAAATTCTTTCAGCTATTAAGCAACAGGAACTTGTATAAGGGGAAAAGCAAAAAGAGGAATATTTTCTGTGGTGGCTAACTGCAAAAATGCATCTTCTCTGTTGTCCTTAACTTTAATCTTTGAAATATTTCTCCATCTTTTCAGGAGCATTTCCATTCCACAATGAAGTTTTCCTCACTTGCTATGTCCTTTTAGCACGTGGAATTTCTGTCACCAAAAGGGTACTAAGAACGCTGATCAAGAAACCTTTCTGAAATTTTGATACACAACAAAATAACCAGATTTATGCAGTCTTTCAAAGACCCAGGAAGTATGAAAGTGTGAGATACAAGACTTAACAGTAAAACTATTTAAATTGCCTTCTGGTGTATCATGGTGATAGGGAGAAACAGCTGGATCCTGATGCACCCACCAGTTTTAACAGAACTTCTTAGCAGTGATGCGGGGAGGCTGCTTTGCCTGTTGATATAAAATATGACTGAGATTGCATCACATCAGCTGAAGATGGTACTCAGGGGATGGAGCCAAAACATTGCACAAACTTTCCACAGTTCCAAGCTAACCTGGAAAGTCGATGGCTAATCTCTGAAGAATAAATCAACATTTGGGTATTTTTTTTTCTGGGGCTGATCTAAGCAAAAATTCAAGGTTACTTATAATGGAAAAATAATGCTGTCCCTAGAACATCCCAAACTTTGAAGCCATAAGGATTACTGAGAGAATTTTGTCCTCCTGCATCTCTCAAACACAGTATTAGCCACATCTGGTACTGCTTACAGAAATGTGGGATTTAGCTGAAGTTCAGATAGCTTCCGACTAATTCCAAGGAAGATTAAGCTACAAAGGATCTTACAAGAAGTAATTAGCAAAACTGACTTAGTTTCTTACTGTTGACTACATTGCCAGTTTTAATTTGTTGAAATCTCCAAAATTGCTCTTGCCTGTAATGCTGGAGTGGCTGGCAGAACGTCAGTTCAGATTTCTCATCTGAAACCTCATATCCATCATATCCAGCACTCAGCTACTAGGGAACAAAGCAGCAGAACGCTACTGGATTTGACTAAGTGGGTAGCCTTGCAACTGGGAGAGCCATCTCAGAGAACACCGAGTGGTAGAACCCAAGCTCTGTCAGAACTAGTGCCAATTGTTTCTCAAGGACACGGATTTTAAAGAAATACCATCTGATTGTTACTACCGAATCTGCTAGTTTTTATGAGGAAAGCAGGTGAGATCCCGACAGAAGAACGATAAGCTGCAAAAACATAAGAGCTTCTATCCCTGTATTTTTCTGTACAGGTGGGACAGTGATCTCAGAGGTCATCAGACTCGAATCTTCCTTCCTCCAGTAGCCTCCTCTAAGACAGACTGGATGAGCAGTGGTATCAGATGGAAGAATTCCTGAAGAAATAGGAATGCTACAAGCAGCTTGCTACAAGCCTCCAGCTCATCATACAGTTGGCAAAAAACTTAAAACGGTAAAGTCAATTATCAGATGTGAAGGCAGAAAACACTTTTCTCTAAAAGCACCATCAAGGGAGAGAGAAAGTTTTCCTTTTCAGTGAAAATGCACAGATACACAAATGGGAAGCCATATACAGGCAGTTATCTAGACACAGCCAAACCTTCAGCTGTGAGCGACTTGTGTAGACTCTCAGTTCTGTGAAGGAAAGGTATCCTAAGTCAGGCACATCTCATGTGGGAAATGATTTTGAAGGTATTTTATTCTCACTGCTTTTTACTGTGTGTAAAATGCTCTTTTCGTCCTACTATCTGCATCATCATCGATATTAAATACATAAAAATACAACTTGAGTTTTGAAGCCCTGCTCTAAGTTAGTAAGGCTGAACACAGTGGCAAATACCTTTAGTAATTTTTATTAGTTTTAACAATGATCGCTTAAACCACTGAACTCCCTCCCCCAAAGTCTTTATTTTTATTTATTAATTAATGACTACTGAAACAGCCAGACCTTTCCAGCCCATTTCATATTCTCCTGAAGCCACTTTAGAGCAGATGTATGCTCCAAGCTGTAAACTTCTTCCATATTAACATTCACTGTCATACGCTTAAGAAAAAGCCTTGGATCAGACACATGAGCAGCCAGGCTAAGTCTCTCCATTCCTGCTTGATAGTCACTGTTATTCTGAACTGTCTGGTCTTCACATCTGTAAGTGAATTTTCACAAATACAAAATTATGCAATGTGCAGGCCCTCCCTCTGCCATTTGCCTCATGGTTTATACTGGCAACAAGATCACAAAAACACTAAACTAACGCCTTGTGTTCATTTATGATAGACGTTAACTTCTAGACAAATTTTAGCTGATTATTTTGAAGAATTTAATAAGGCTTTAGAATTTAAGAAGTTAAATTTAATAAGTTAGACATCTTTTTAACATATTTTGCAGTACTGAAACGTAATAGGATTTAATGCCAGTGCAAAGCAGGTCTGCAATATTCACATTTCATGAAGAAATGCTCTAGTCAGGGCTGGCAAATTCAGTAAAGGAATGTAAACCATTTTATGAATTGGATATTCCAAGAATTTATATAACATGCTTGAATCCAAAAGGATTACTCATGCTTGGCATGTAATCACTTTTGGAATAAGGATGTGCCTAAGTGACATGCCTATGTTTTTGCAAGAGCAGAATTTACTCTTTAAGCAGACAAGCAGAGGTATGACAGCATACTAGCAAAACTGTCATCTAGTATAGGCTGCAACTTCTACATCAACAAATATTCATAAATAATAAATCCCTCTATGGCGTTTAATTTCCTTGAGTGTCAAATTAGCTGAAGAATATATCCTAAGCATAATCAGAAAAATTCTTCTGATGACAAAAATTCTCTAAATGATACTGTTGTTCTGGCCAGCACTGTTCTCCTAATAATCTGATCATACTTAAAACTGAGTGTGATTTGTCTTTTCTGCTGCTTGTAACATATACGTTTCTTTTTTTACAGGACATGATTATTTTGACCTGAAGTAACCACTGTTCCAAACATATATTTAACATTCCTTTAAAAGACAGCACAAAAACTTAAACAAATTGTGTGTCTTTAAAGGTAAGATTTTCAAAAAAGACAAGGTAAAAAAAAAAACAACACCAGAACAACAACAAAAAAAAAACAACCACCATCTAATTTATCCAAAAAAGCCCACAAAATTAAGAGATGTATTTCTCAGGATGGGTAGAGCTGAAAGAAGACACAGCACTCAAGTTTGAGATGCCCTCATTCATCCTTCTTAACAAATGCAGCTTTGCTATGCAGTTTCACATCTTGATTCTGAGCCAAACACTCCCAGAGAAAATAGGGTCTTGAAAAACAAATTACAGGCATAATCCAGTGACAGTGGTTGGTGGTTTATGGACAAGAAGGAAAAGCAATGAAACAAATTTTTATCTTGCAGTTACTCAGTCTCACAGGAAGGGAAAAAAATCACACTTAATACCAAGATACTCCCTAGAGAGAGAATCAAATAAAATGGTTCCAAGCACTTGCCAAAGAACAGCCAAAAAAGTTGCATTTGCTTTATGAAAGGAGTTAACATTTTGACTGTGCCTTTCTCCTCCAATGCTTAACCACAACCCAAGACTCTATAGTGAACTTATCCTGTTTTTGAAAATACAGGAGTACACATTCAGCTAGGGAACAGAGGCCAGTATCACTCAGGAACACATGCTACACATGTAAAAAATAAAACCAGAAACATTTACTGTTACATCATCAGTTTGTAAAAAAGGATTAAAAACAAGTTTTTAAACAATTCTCTTTCCTAACCAATAGAAAATAAACTCTCTCATTAATTACATGTTTAGACTGATAAGTACAATAAATAAGGTACATGTCTGACACAAACCTTTTCAGTATTATTTGAAGAGACTGAGTAGTAGCCCCTGGACTTTGAATATCGCTGGCATTTGAAACGAGGAATAATTCAATGGCCAACAGCATCTCAATCTCAGACACGTAAAAAGGAATTGGCAAGATTTTGTGATGTAAATTTCCCTCTAGTGGCGGGTAGCAACCCAGTGACAAAGCAGCTGTGAGTAAATGCAGAAACATAAGAAATTAAGATTACCAATACTGAACATGGATCTGTTTTCTTCATGCCCCGTAATAGCCACTGATTCATATTCCCAACTGTCACTATATCCCAATAAGTATTTTGGTTACAAATAAATTCCTGACATTGACAAAGAAAGTGCTCGTCTTCTTCCTTGCAAGAAGACAAGCACTCTCACCCTTTTCTCCCCAAAACACGGAGCTGCTAATGTTATCCAAAGAAAATCTTGGAAGGATTTTTAAAAAGCAACTTACTTTTGTAGTAGGTTCTAGCTTTACTCCACAAACAACTTCTTCCCAAACCTGTGATTAATCCCCTCAGTAAAAAAAAATCAACAGCTATATTTTTTGAAAGCATGAAGTCTACTGCAGAAGACGAGACCCCAAGGTTCTTGCTCTCAAAACAGGCTTTTATCAGCAGGTTAAAAATGCAGCCATACTGAGAAACATCAACAGTATCTGAAATGAAAAGAAGAAGATTTACTAATCAATTCAAATCAAATCAAAGCCTACTTGCAGAATCGCTTCTCAATGTTGGGGACCAGCACCAAGATCAGGCTTTTTGCTTCTAGGAGCAAGATGGCACAAGGTTGAGATGATTTATTCATCAAAATTCTTTCCATACGGTTATACTCATTTCATTTACATTGTGAGAGAGGAAGTATTAACGTCCAAGTAATGATTTGCTCTGAAAACCAAGAGGATCAGATAAAAATACATTCACTTGCCTAAGTCTACAAATAAAATCATCACTTGATCTCTCAAAATTTGCACCAATAAAAAACATTTTGGTCTCTGAAGATCTGCTTCTACTCTAGATGGTCTTCCACTAAGGCAATGCCTAAAAGCACACACTGATAATAGGACTGAGACCTCCAGACAGAAGTCAGCTGAGGTTTCCTCAGTGGAGCCTAAATAACTACCCATCTCAAGCTGAAGTACACATCGGAACTGTCAGATAAATTGAGCCCAAAAGAGCACTCAGTTCAATGTATAAAAGTATAGTGTGGCTTGCTCAGTTTTCTATCCTATTGTACAGGCTGTGAATGCTCTTTAAAAATTTAGTGGATCTTCCTTGTGGGCCTGTGTAACTGAGCTAACCTGGAGAACAGGACAGGCAGACAAACTGTGTGCGTGAGTGCACATCTGTGAGACAAAAGCTGCAGAGTTCACTGACATTACCCTCTTTGGAAAAGAATGAGCTTGTATAAATCCATCTTCTTCAAGAAATGTGACAAGGAAAACAAAGAAAAAAAAACAGTACAGAATAATCTGTTACGTTTTTAGCTCTTACACAGTACCTCTCCTTACTTACCAGTACTATTTTGGAAACCTGGTAAATTCTGCAGAACTTCCAGTGCCTGTCTGTATAAACTCTGCCTCATGTAGTTGTGCACTAGTGAATATAACAGATTATGCCTATTGAGGATGTCCTCTTCATCACAGGGCCACAGTGGTGTATTTGTGGTCCATTCTGACTCTGCAGCAAAGAATGGCATAGTGTCATTTCTATGAACTAAAACTGCTGGATGCTGTGACTTCTGGCCTTTAAGGGTATGCTGTAAACTGTAGCAGAAAACAAACTTCAAAACTTATCATAAAATACAGTTTTTAATAACTTCTTCCTTACCACTAAGACTTCTCAGATGGATTCTCAGAACCCTTTAATTTTAAATAATCCCTTTTATTAAATATCACAATAGTAAAATGAACTGTCAGGGGCATATCTAACTATATCTGTATACAGATATGTATGTATTTATTTAATAATATAAAACAAACATGAATAGAACATTTTAGATCCTCCATGTTACTTTATAGAACACCTCCTATTCTTGTTTATACACTTCTGAGTTTCTTCTTTCAGTAGGTCACAATTCCAAAAAGCCAACAACTATGTATTATTTTAATTTACAGACCAACTTGTAACTTGTAGCTGAAAGCTTTCACCAAATGGGGCAGTTCAAATTTGAACGTTAAAACTCTGTTCTTTGTAAGACAAGCTTACCTCTCAATACCCATGTCGCTCCATCCAAACTTCCAGTTTTAAGAAAAATTTCTGCAGCATTATTAACAATTTGGCATCTTGATGCTAAGTTCTCTGCACCCATAAGTCCCTTCAAGACTGTAAAATTTATCTGTAGCTCATGCAATTTATCCAAAACCTTCCTTCCCTAGCACAAGAGTGAGACAGGAAACAGGGAAGGTCTGAGAAAGCAATGACATTAATACCTACACATTATACAGCACATTTAATTTGGTGACCAAGTTTTGTACACATCAGTTTAGTGACATTATCCAAACTACGGGGGAGTGAGAAAAGGATCACTTAGTAAAAATTCTAACAAACAATAGCAGATTTTTTTTCTTTGTGATTCTGTAGACAAAACAAAACAGTTGTTGTTCAACAGCTCCCAGCACACTATTCTTTTTAGTATGTTTACAGTATATGTTCCCAGACAGTATTTTAATACACTTTGTAATTTATTTGCATTTGCTTGCTTTAGCATATTAATATTTTCACTCTTTTGATTCTGTTCAGCCCTGTATAACTTATGTAATTCCAAGAATATCGTATAAGGACTTTTCTTTTTGCAGTAGAGACATAATAGTTAACCTGAAATAATTCATCCAGCATAAGCCAAACAGAACAGATAATTCTACCCAGCAGGACAAAAAAAAAAAAAAAAAAAAAGGAAGAAGTTGTGCCCATCTGACCAACAGTAAAACAACCAACAACTTTATCATCATATACCAAGCTGAGTTTTAGTCTGGTTTCCTAGAAAAGTTTCCTGTCAAGCTTCTTTTTCTTCCGCTTTTTGGCTGGCTTTCTCAGTCACAGATAAAAGAAAGGTAGCAGTCTCAAAGATAATGAAGATGTGACCAACCTAAAAAAGTGCTGATGAAGCTGAAAAGGGATACTAAATTAATGTCCCCAGCAAGGCAAAGACAGGCAGGGTTTAGCACTTTAAAGGGAAAGGGAGGTTTAGGAAAACAGAGATGTTGACAGAAAATGAAACATACTTATTAGGAAGCTAACTTTTTGAAAATGCCTTGTGTGTATGCATGTAAGTACCGTGAACTGGCATATGCCCCAAATTGGAGACCTTTAGATACCTACAGGAATCTGCAATGGTTATCTCAACATAACCTGTAGAAAAATACAAACGAATGATTGCAGTTATCATCTATGGTTAGATCACATCCTTCATCCTGTCTTATTTTCTGGACCACTTTTTTGAAGAAGCAAGACAGGGCATCAGGAAGATAGCCCATAATCTCAGGATTACGGACTTATTTCATAGATACAATGGAGCAAAGCTGCTTGGAAAGAAGTAGTAATGACAGTTCTAGTTCATCCCTGAAGCAGAGATCAATTTGGAGGTTGTCAGTTCTGATAAAAATCACTCAGAGCACCACCTCATTCACACTCCAATATGGTCATCACAGGTTGTCTGTGAGGCTATTTGAGGATCTTGAAGAGCAGTCTATTGAGAGAGGGATTTGACACCCTGTCAAAGGAGTGATGATCTTTTGCTCTACACATATTAAAAAAAAAAAGTAGTAACATAAGAACTGCCTGCTCTTAGTAGCCTCTATCATACAAGAGAAACAATACGCGTGCTTTTGGCGCCTTGTTCCTCTGATGTCAGGAAATGAAGATGAACTTCCTGGGAATATGAGATCGCGGAACCAAGTATCAAGATTTCCCTCACAGGAGATCTTGGAAAATAGCTCAGTGTGAAGGTATTTCCCTGCAAACACTGAATACATTCTGCCTCTGCTGAAGATGACAGCCAGAAAACAAACCAAACTAAGCTCTTAAATGAGAAACAAGAGCGCTAACCACTTCTCAATGGCAAGAATTTAGACCACCTCAACAGAATCCAGGAATCTCCCAATGATTCTACAAGTGAGTTCTGTGGAACAAAAACACTTTAAAAATTCTAGTGCAGTATTAAAAATCTGCTAGTGCAAAGAACCCTTCCTTCCCTTTACTCTCAAGGCAGCGTCACACTTGATCAGGACCTGTTAGAGACCCTTCTTCTCAACAAACTGATGCTGCAAAATTTCTGATTCATCAAAATGGGTGTACAGTGTCTAATTCAAGAACCTTAATCAGCTATCCCCTGGGACTTGGGGTGGCCCTGGAAACGCATGGGTTTCATGTAACAGAATCCTTCATGGTCATGCCTTATAGGCAGTAGTTCAAAAGACATTTTAGCTCTTTAATGCAAACTAGAAAGGGATCCCCAAGAATAAAAAGACAAAAGGGGAGAGGGAGAGTTTAATTTTGTTTGTAAAAATACATCTTTGAAATCACGTATAGGATGAGAAGTGTCCCAGTACAGAATAATTATTACTTGTAGGGATCAGCCCTGATGACAGAAAGGCAAGTTCAGAATACAATCACTGACCAAAACACATCCCAGAAGCACTGGTGCTTCAAATTCTCCCTCCCACTGGCACTGGTCATGCTGCATTGTATAGGGGAGGCAGATCGGTATAAACTGCTTCCTTCCACCATGAAAAATAATTTAATGTCGGAGCAGAACTTGCTGCAGTGAGCTTATGATCAATTACTGGATGAGTCCTGAAGACCGAGGACATCCAGTGAAAGGTCTAGTCTGAACACTGGCTCATCGTAATATTGGACAGCAGGAAAGGACTGTAAAGGGTATTTCTTGGTGAGGTCCAACTCCTTGAGAGATTCACACAACTCATAAATCCAAATCTGGCAAGATGTATGAAATGAAAAAGAACCCAGAAGAAAAGCACTTTCAGTAACATTCTGGGGAATTAGCACTACCAAGTGCAGCAGGAGGAGCCCTGCTATGCCTCTCTTCTGTCTTCTTGACCTTAGCCGTTCCATCTCAGATCAGGCTCAGAAGAATCGGTGCAGGAAATATTTCTCCAGTTGGGTGGTCTTGGAATTCAGCAGTATTACCAGACGGAGGAAAATGGCATTTGTGGGAAATCATCACCAGCTTGATCCAGAACCTCAGGAAGCCCGGTCTCTTAACCCTCATTCATCCCTAGCTCAGAAAAGGCAAAGCTGACCTTGAACAATCAAGTTGCTAGGTTGCAAGACAAAGTTATGACAGACTTGACCAGACAGAAACATGCTCATTTACGTGCTTTTGTCTTGAACCACGCTGCATTCTTCTACCAGGCAGTACAAATACCTTGTACATCTATCACTATAAGGAAAACAATTTCTACAGTCTGTGTATATTTTGCTCATTTAAAAGTTGTAATTATGTAATGTATGAAAAATAAAAAGTGTATTAATTCTCACAAGCAACTCCCTCCACCCTAACCAACAAAGCAAGCAAGAAGAAATCCCCACACATGCAAGGCTCTGAAGACTACTGCCCAGAAAGGCACAATGAAATGCTTTGATCCAGCTGGACAATTAAGAAGCATTAAGAAGACTGTGGGGAGGCAGGTGGCACATCCACATACTCAACTGGAGAAACAGTTTGGCACCAAGTAAGGTAAAGACAAATTATCTTTCTTCCAAACAGGTTACTATAGCGCAGCGTACCTTTCTCCACTGTAGCACTTTGCGATAAGAATTCATCATGCTTATCCCAGTCCTTCCAATGAAAACCCTGTCTGCTTCATTACACGTCGGGTTTGTTATTACTAGAAAGAAAAAACATGTATTATTTTTCTTTTCACATGTAAATGCTGTTTCAAAGAACTTGATCACAGATCACAGAACTTACACTTGAAAAACAATAGTCATTGTGAAATATTAAATACACTTTCTGAAATACTTGGCATTAAATGTAATTATTTCCTAAGTCTGACAACAACAATAGTTTATTCGGACATTATTTTCTCAAGTTTATCCATAAGATGCTTGGACAAGTCATGGCATAACTTAGTAACATCATAACTTAGCAACATCATTACTTGTAAAGTAAGCTCTCAATCTGGCACTACAGAACTGGGTAATTGCAAGTTTTTTCAAGCCATATTATTTAACTACTTTGGAAGCATTGTTAGTACTATAGGACAATGGTTTCCAGTGTGGGATGGTACACAAACAATTCTTCCCACACAGATGCGGGAAAGTATTTTTTGTGCCATTGATAAATTAAATAAAAAATTTAAAGTAGTGTTTATTTCATCCCTTTTTAAATTTGTTTTGATGTATGTTTTATAATGCACATAATAAAACATACAGTGCAGTACTGCATATATATAATTTATAAATAAATACACATAGATTGGGGGTAAGTGTTCACAAATCTGTTAGTGATAGGGTGTCTATCAGTTTGGAGACCACTGCTCTAGAGAAGACAGACCAAGTTTCAAGCCCCATCAAAGCCTTTTGTCCGTGTCATAAATGGAAGCTGTTTTATACTCTGAAAGTCTGTAATCAGAAAGGTCGTGTCACATAACTGAAATACATATTCATCAGGTTTTAGTAGTTAATACAGGTTGAAAAAGATGTGAGTCATCCCTTATACAAAGCTGTAATATTCCACTGACACTTACTTCACTGAGCCTCCGTCTTCTACAATCTTATTAGGAGGAAGGATGCAGATAAGTAAATGAAGAGGCATAGAGAGGAAAGTGGCAGGAAAACCTGCCAGAAATATTAAAGAACTAGGTGTTTTGAGGACCCTGCCCTTGCAGAAATTCTTGGTTCTTCAGGAGACTGAGAAATTCTGAAAATCCAAATTGCTAAAAACCAAAGAAACCAAGCTAACCAACCAAATGATACATACCTGATGTAACCCTGTCCAATGTGTTTTTGTATGTACAAGTATATGCAGCCGTATTTACAGCTCTGAAGTTTACTTATGCTATGAAGAGTGTTGCACTTCAGACAATAATTAAACATGCTTGCCTTTGTCCTGAGAACAGGACATTCTTCCTTAAAGACAAAGAGTTTTGGTTTCTCTTCATAATCTTACAGAGCTCAAGTGTGCTTTTTTCAGAGCAAGTAGCTCTTTCAGTGTAAGCATCACAAATTCCACTTCTACCAGAAAATGACGTCTGTTGATAATTTCACCTGACTGTATTTGTGCCTGAGGAAATTCTGAATGCTGTATTAGATAAAAGTAACTGATGTGAAGAAAACAGTCAGTACACGATTTTATTTTTGACCTCATAAAAACCCTACCAAGAATAGGATGAGCAATAAAGCATTTTCTCCATCTTAATTTTACCTGCATCAGCAAAATCGCAAAAAGGAACTCCTGGTCTGTCTTTCTCAGAATCTCTTGTTAGTATTTCAGTAATACATAAAGACAATTTCTGAAGATCATCAAAATGTTCACATCCAGTTCTTGCATTAACATACAAAGTTCCCATCTTACTCCAATCGTTTTTTTCCTTGCAATGCTATGAAAAAGACGAGTGACAAATATGAGCAAGCCTGCTTCCAGAACACCACAGAAAATATACTGAAATTCTAGAGATAATGCTCAGACACACTTAAAGCAGAAAACAATGCAGCTAATATATACCGTGTCCTATGACATTACTGAATATATTCTGATGTATGACATTTCACTTTGGCAGAGTATCACCCATTTCTTAAAGGAACAGATCTGAGAGTCTAGAGAAGTTAATCTGAAGAGATTATAACCAAATACAGACATTTCTAATGACATGACGATTAAACCTCAATGTTTTATATTCTTCTCTCTCAACACTTTTATTTTTGTAACATATTACATATTTTTATAATATATATCATTAAAATTTTGTTAGCATCACCAAACCCATTTTCTTTCATCAAGGATTAAGTTAACTTGAATCCTCCTATCACTGCAGGCTAGGACTAATCAATGTCTCCTCATGAGACATTCAGTACTCTGGTGCAACTTTTCTGAGAGGTTTAGAGCTCAGGCTACATTTCTGTACTGTAATCTAGCACAGGTTGCATATGCACATGCACGTAGAATAGTTAAATTTAAACCACGTGCGTCAGGATTCTACTGATAACAGCATAGGGCTGTGCTGCAGGGTCTGCAGGTATGCCAATCGAGATGAGGTATGTGACACACAAATGCCAACAAGGAATTACAGAGGTTTTCAGGAACTGACTGGACAAAATTGTGACCAGTCCTGGTCACAGTCCAAGTTCTTGCCTTCTTAAATTTAGGTTTCAGGCGAATTATTATTATACTAATCCGTGCGATTAGTATAATAATAATAAAACTATAGTATAATTGTTCATAAGAAGTAATTCATCTCTCAGGGTGAAAAATACAGTAGCCTATTAAAGAAGTTATGCTGTAGTATTTTCTTATTCTTCAAAATAACCTGCCTGTCACAATTACGCCTTTTTATATAAGGTATTGACTCTGCTGAAGTATTAAGTAATTTTTGGTGAGGAATGATACATCATTACCAATTAAAAGCACAACAAAAAATGCTGACAATTCTAAGATTTTTGAATTAGATGCAAAACTAGGATAAAAGCTACAAGTATGTAAATTAAAATAAGTACTGACATCACAGAAAAGCCAGGCAATTTTTCCCCGCATGTTAATCTTTCCCCAAAACTGTTTTACATAGAAATGTATTATCATCACATTAATTTTAAATGATGCAAAAATTGCTATTTTATGTAGGTTTAAAAAAGTCGTGGTTTACACATTCCAAAAGGCTTGAAAAATGCACACCGTACCTGAATTTCAGCCATTATCAAATTGAAGTCAAAGAGCCAGCTGTTTTTAAAATGTCTTTCCTGATATCTTCAGGGGGAAAAAAAATATTAAAACTTAATTTTAACACACCCTATTGAACTAAAATATGAACTAGCAGGTGATCAACAATTCATTGTATTTGGATTGAAAACTGATGTAATTTTTTATTTGATTTACATATAATACGCAAAACGGACACTGAAAACAGACATTCACGATCATGCCAAAGGAAGTCAGTACATATGTTATGCAAATAACTGAACAGCAATATTTTCAACAGGCAATATTCCCTTCTCTTGGTATAAATGTAACTGAACAGGCAGGAATAAGACAATACATTAAGTAAATGCAGACCTCACTGTACATGTGTCTGACAAAAAGGTTAAAAAAAAAAAAAGTTAATTACATGAACCAAAGTGTAATTCAGCTTCAAATACCTCAGAATGTAATTGTTTGTTCTGATGCTGCCACTGGAACAGTGAATCCACCTACCCAGTGTGATGCTATCATGTAGACACACTTTACCTACACATGAACGAGCCAGCACGTGCAGTTGAAGCAGTAAAGCTGCTCAGACTTCCCAGACACAAACTCTTTCTCAGTTTGTGCTGAAAACACAATACATACTGAGGCAACTTGGAAAGGGTCATTCCTTTGTGGAATGTGATTCCTGGTCTGAAAAGTGAAATCACCTCTAACACAGGTGGTAAACTGCACGTATAAAACACTGAAATCCATAATTGAAAGGAATTGTATGGGAAAAGTATGAAGAGCAGCAAACAATTCCTGGAGTGCTTTTCCTTGAAACAGTGATGGCTTGCTTTTACAAAGTAGATGCCTGCTGCAGGTTTGGTTTCCCTTAAGAATCAAATCTTCCTTTATGAACCATAAATTTAGTTTCTCAACTTGTGCGTGCATATATGATGCAGAAAATTTAAACAAAAAAAACTCGGGCAAGAGATGGGGAACATCAACAGTTTTGGAAGAGGTTTGGGCTCCGATTTCATGTTTTGTCCTGCATAAACTGGTGGTACTAAAAAAAAAAATAAAATCACCCTCCTTGACACTTCTCTTGTGGAGGCACATATGTTTAAGATGCACAGTAAATGAAACTAGAAGACTACTTCAGATTATAACTAACAATTTTACTGCCTACATGATTTTTATTGCAGAAGTACTGCTGGCCTAAAATATGCATTAAATAATTACATTTCTAATTTGACTACACTTGTACAAATTTCTCCAAATAGTTGGGAACAGCAACCCATCAAACTGTACTATGACAATATTCAAAAGGCTAATCATAACGCAGCCTGAATCTAAGGTTTAAGTAATGATCCTTGATCTTTGAAGCATGGCAAATTGACAGCATTTGAAAATACAATTAGGCACAATATGGTTGTATTTTCCTCCAAACCCCTAAATTTACACTTTCTAGTCACCTTTTACGTTTTTACATACATTTATGAAATAGAACCTGAAGAAGGAACTAGACAGATATAATTATAAAAATAGCTTCTTAAAGGCATACCTGGATTTTATATTCAAAACAACATTTATTTCCTGGCTGGAAACTTGCAATTGTTGAAGGAGTTTAGTAATGTAATTAAAATGTTCAAACTCAAGAAACATACCAGCATCAACGAGCTGTAATATCAAACAGGGGGAAGAAAAGTAAGCATGCAAGAATTGTCATCGTGTATATCCACGTGCAAGCATCAGTGAAAAACACATCACATTGAATCTCAGTCAAAAACCCATATCAAACACTCAGCTAGCCACAATTTAACTTTTACAAAATACCATTGAAAAAATATTTAAGAACTACCTTGCATTTTAAAACAGGCAAGCTATTTTCAGAAATTCCTTTAAACAGTAGTACAATCAAACTCATACCTTACGAAAGGTACTGATTAAAGTAGGCACAGCATTTCTTATATTCAAAGAAGCCACGTGCTCGAAAACTTTCAGAAGAACATCCACAGCTGGCTATAATTTAGACAAAAAAAGCACAATTAGTTTTATGACTTTGTTCAACTAGAAAGGTTAGAGCTTTTCAAATAGGAGCTTACATTTTTTTTTCTTCAAGAATTGAGTACCAAAGTAAAACAAACTTATTACTACAAATGGTATTGCCCCCCAAAACTGAGAAACTATGGATCAAAAATGTTCAAAATATTTCAAGGTGACCTACCAGTATATTAATCTGTACAGCTACCCGCAGTATCTGAAACACTTCTTGCAACAAACAGTTCTTGAGCAAACAAATAAGAAGATCATTCAGCACTTGAAAATCAAAATCCTCACCAGGAGTAACTTCTCTGTAATACCTGACAAATATTTGGACTGAAAAAGCAATTAAAATAATTTTACTTTGGGGGCACTGATGCTTTCTAAACAGGTTATTACCTTAAATTTTAAAAGCAGTGTAAAAACTCTTAATTATCCAGAATTTTATGGCACTGGGATGTGGAGAAAAATAGGTAAAAAGAAAGTTTGAATGCAACGTTAACATTACTGACTGTTAAGATTGACTGTTCTGAAATACCTCCCATCATTGAGCTGAACTTCTGGAGGTTTCAAGAAAGCTTAGCTAATTTAGTGCAGCACAAGAATGCACAAAAAACAGGTTAGATGTGGTAGCAGATGAAGGTAGCAAGCTCCTGCCAGACGTGAAGCTCTACAAAGTGCAGTGCTGTCATGGTGGACGGTGTTACCAGTTCTTCCAGGGCTAACCATGACAGATGCAAGTACTCAGTGTTACCTGCATTTCAGTACTCAGTATTTCAGTAAGGCAACATTACTACACAGGGTGTAACAGGATCCCATGTTCATACTGTACTACAAGCTAGTAAACTTTCAAAAACGTAGGTAAAAAGAGAATGACTGTCCAGACTAAAATTTAGCCCTTTATGACTCAACTCATAGGCTCACATGGATTTATATAAACTCTGGTCTCTAAAATGTGTTGATTTTAATTGTCTGCATATATAGCAGTGTGAAAGGACTAAATTAAAGCTGTTTGGATGCTGTAACAGCGCTTCATTTAAAGAGCTTAATTCTAAAGTTTTTGGCTATGTAATATTTAGTCAGGGTGTTGTTCAAAACTGCCTTAACAAAATCTTGGTCCCGTTAAACCTTTCCCCTTGCCCCAATATCTATTCTAAAGTCTAGATCATTTTCTAGGGAAGTAAGATTTTTAACAACCTCCTGAGATAACTGCCTATCTAAATACACATCCTCAATGGGAAACTGGTACATGAAAAGCACATGGATTCCTCCTAAATAAGAACTTTATTCATTGTTGGAAGTGCCATCTATTTTTCTCCCAAGTCTACTTGTTTTAAATAAGCTAAATATCAGATATACATAAAAAGATACTTATCATACCTGCACGTTTTAGAAGGCCTGATTCATTGATACTAATGTATGTCTTAAGTATTGCCATGCAAATCTAGAGAAAGAGAAAAAAAAAAAGTAAAACATTACCTCAGTTTATGCCAAACGATCTACCCACAAACATGAGCTGTATAAGGAAACAATCTTTACATTGCTTCTAGTTGACCCATATGTACCAACATAAGCTATAAGAAGGTAATTGGGTCTGAAGGCAAAGGCACCATCAAAGGACAGCAAATCAAATAGAAAATAACATAGATGACATACGTAAACATACATAACATACACAAATGTTTGGGAGAGGAGCTGCTGGAATCACAGCTGTATGCACGTGTGCGTACAAAAAAGGGATTTTGAAAATACTTGGAATTAGTAAAAATGTCGCACACTAAGCAAACAGAACAGCAAAGAGGTAAAAGTGAAAACATGATAAAAATTACACAAATGCACCAAGTAGTAAGTCATAAAATCATCGAGAACTGATGTTGCTAACACTAAGACAAAAATGTTTCAGCAATCAATGTTTTAAGCTGCTTTAGAAATACATTAACCTCAGCTTTGTGATACACATTCTGCTATAGCTCTGCAGATGAAAAGTAAAAACTACACAGATTAAATCTTAAAATTCCAAGTTAGGAAAAAAAAGAACAACACAAAAACAAGAACCTTTCGCATCCCCTTTGTCACTTCTGAAAAATGTACAGTCTCTCTGCAAAACGATTTAAAATGGGTCTTACATCTAACACTATTTTGTGAAATAACAAACAATGAAGGGACACAATCCCCCCCCCCCCCCCGACCGTAGATGTGTTACTGCAGAATTGAATTGGGTTTATTTTTAAACGAAACTTCACGATTTGACAGGATCCACTCATTGAGTCTGTTACAGTGAATGAATTACCATGAAAGCACTGGCTTGTGGCCAAGACATCTTTCTTTTAAGACTATTAACCTTTTCAGATCCCCAAGGCAAACAACACAAAAATTGTACATTTAAATACACCGCCTATAAAGGTTATCATTTTTATTTTCAAACAGCATCACAATGTTGTTGAACTGTGGCCTAAGCCACCCCTTGTGGAAAATCACGTCGAATGTTTGATCTTTGATATGTGTGTGCTGTCACTCTTGCAAGGGGTTAACTCTTTTAATCCAAATCCAAAATCCCAGGTGGCTGAGGGCATTTCCAAAACAAACTTTAGCACATGCTTACAGTATGTAAATTAGTTTGCTTTCTTTAGGAATCTGTTTTCCTCCTCCTTTGGACTGACTGCCAAAAAAAGCCAAGATTGCATCTGGAGCTCTGACTGTTCCAACTATTAGTGAAATTGCTTGGAAAATCCAGTTGTAGTAGGATTTAATCATGGGACATGTTACACTACATGCATAAAAGGAGTGAACTGTGTGCTTCAGTTACAGCTTCTAGGAGGCTTCAATTGATTTAATTGTTTAAATTTAAAGTTAAAACTGAATCTATAGACCACATAAAATGTGAGAATCTCTAACCTTTGAGTTAATCGTAATAGATTTAAAATGAAGGTGCATGAAACTAGGAAGAGACAAAAATACATTAAAAAAAAGCAGCACAGATCACACTGTTCTGTCACCCACCAGCTGATTCCAGAAATCACTTGGTATGACAATTTAATAAGAAATGTAACAAAATGGCCATTTATATTCTAAAAGCAGCTGGCTGCCCAGTCAAACGGTTTTACTACAGTAACACAGAGGTGCTTAAATTACAAGAACAATCACCAAAATTCATGAAATCTTTCAGCATCTCTCCGTGTGCGCTCTGATGTTTATCAAGAGGGAAAACCTTATGCTGCAGCCCTTTGCGCAGTGAGATCAAAACCAGGATCCTTTTTACAAGAGGTTCTTTTCTCACAGGATACTAGCACCTGTAAGATGCACATTTCATACTACATGTGGCTGAAGCTGACCAACACAAAATTATCTGTTGTCCTCTGTATCTTGGTGACACAAATCCTCAGTCAGCACAGTGCACCAGAAGATACATACAGCAAAAAATCTCAACTGTCAAATTAAGGTATCTCATCAGGATGTGATATGCATCTGTTGTCCTTGGAGGCAAATGCTTAATCCCTTTTTTGCAACCAAAGGCAATAAAATTTAAGAAGGAAGTTCAAGCTACTAGGAAAATAAGTTGAAAAGAAGGATGCTGGGAACATTTTCTCCTCCAAATAACATAGCTTTTTTTTTTTCTTTCAGTAAGTGGTAGCAGAGAACACAACTATACTGCAAAACAAGACACCTGATACAAGAGGAGATACTTCCACGTACTAATAAGTCATTATTTTAATCAACTGGTTTTGCATTTCTGCATAAAAACCACCCCTAACTGATGACAATACTGCCACTCCAATCACACCAAACCAGCACTATCGACTAACTATTTTTGCCATTTTAATTTAAATATCAAAAGCATTCCTTTTTACTAACAAAATTGTAAATTGGAGTGAGATGCTCTTGGACAAACACAAAACCTTTTATTTTTTTTATTTTAAAGACAGCAACTCCACTTAGCTTTCTGAAAATGCCTGCAACTACTGAAGCTGTTAGAGCTGCAGAGACACTGATGGTCCAGAGAGACGTATGAAAACCTCAGCAAAAGAATATCATCATTCAGTGCTGAACGATGTTCCAAAACCCTTTAGATTTATCAGACATCGGAATCAATAAATTATTTAGTTTTGTATGACCTTTTAAATATTAAGTGATCGGGATTTTTCAGCCTTATTTCCTGTAACTGCTGAATGGACAGGATGAACCAAGCTGTAAACTCTCTCTGAAAGACAGCTATTCTTGGAAGGCTAACTGATGTCTAAACCTAGTTAAAACCATGACCTTACCTCTGGGGAGTATTTAAAACTGCCTTAATAGTCTTGTTTACTTTGCCTAATATAAAAGAGATTTCGCTGTGTGAAACTATAGTCAACTTTCTTTAAATAAATAAAACTGGTAACTTGCAGAAGGTGCTGAGCTCAAGACTATGCTGATTTTCAAAACAAACAACGTTTTCATTAATTAGATCACTGCTTTGCTGTGTGACTAATCACAACTGTGAAGAGTATTAAAACCTAGCGGGTTAGGCCATCAGGCAACAACACGTTACCTAATGAATATGAAGGAAGCTCCATTATGGGGAAAGATAATTCTCTTCAAAAATTCTGCTAACAATCATCATTGGAAACTTAATACTGAACAAGTGGACTGCTGGTCTGCTTAACAGTTCCTAAAGAGATTTATTTTTGCCCTAAAACTGACTAGATGACTTCTTTGTTGCTGCTGTACCTGTCTTCCATTTATGTACTTTGGTGCCACCATGAGGTGTACGGCCTATTATCATTTTACATAGTTCCAAAAAAAAATAAAATAAATAAAGCAAAACAAAACAAAATGAAAATATGCTTCCAGACTACCACCAAAGTTAGGCTACGTTAGGTGGGCAGAACTGTACTTGTGCTGGGGTGCTACACCGTAAGTAAAATCATATGGAAAGGATTTTAATAGCTTAACACAAAAATTATCGTTTTGCAATGTATATATGTAAAAAGAAGCGCTACAAACCGTGGTAATTCACACAAACTAGCTGAAGATCACTGATACTCATTGCAGCCTGCCAAAAACATTTCACAACTGAGGCAAAAGGAAAACATATTATAAAGAATTATTTTCAAATGATCTTAGTATTTTTAAGCTGTCATATAAACTTTCAAAGAGGTTGCGAAGCATCAGAAAAAAAAGGCAGCTTTTTTCAAAACATAACAAGGAAGGAAACAACATCAAGAAAACACCAAATTACAGGGACTTATTTTTAAAGTTCTGACACAGTACATTTATTTATTTATTTATTATTTTTAATATTATTTGCCTCTATCAGGTTCAATGAAAAACACACATCAAATTATTTTTTACATGCTTATTTTGTAATTTCTTACTTAAGGTAAAAAACACTAATGATAAAATTCTAACTCATAACAAATTATCTTGTAAGACCTGATGAGAACAAGTTTAGGCATTTGTCTTTGTTAAGTTGTTTTAATGTTTTATTTCCTACTAAGTGACTTACATAACCGCCAAAGTCTCAGCTAATGCCAAAATCTTATTACATGACAGCACAATGAGCTTGCCTTGCACAGTTCTTGGAAGTAGATTTTTTTAATTCTAGCATATTTTTAAATGAACTTCAAAAGATGAACATCTTTTGATCCATCAATCTCTGACATTTACTCTCTCTCAATATATAAATGAACACAGGAGATGTTGTTTGGCTTAAAAAAGTGTTCACATTTACAATCTGCTTCTTTCTTCAATAAATCTCTTTACCTTTTCATGTCTTTGTTCAGGAACGTGCCGAAACCAACATTTTGCCCTTTCACAGCCACGCAAACTCATGAAATAATATCTGCAATATTTACGGGGCATATCAATCATCTCCAGGATCTGCTGGACTGAATGAGAAGCCTAGAAATAAAATTAAAACAAGCAGAAAAAAAAAAATATTTTTGAAAGCATGCGTGTGGTTTTTTTTGTTTGTTTTGTTTAAATAATTTCAAAATATCAAAGTATTAGAAGAAGAAAGATGAAAAACTACTGCACTGCATGGCTCTGGATAACAAGATGATAATTCTGGGCGGGTCAGATTGTCAGATTCCTTTACCCTTTTCAGTGCCCAGCATAATGGATAATGCAGTTTCTCCTAAACATACGAAACTTTGTCTGCTTTTCACTTCTACAAAAACAGTAAAACAAAAAGCATTTTTCATTTTTGTTTAAGCTGGAAACAGAAATCAGCGAATCTCTAGTGTGAACAAATCACTGGTTTTGCTCTCAGAAACTGTATTTACTCATTTTTAACGTTTTTAGAGGAGTAGAAACATAAATCTAACAGGTTTGTAATTTCTTACTGGACGTGTGGAGAATTGTCTCGATATCCCTAATAAATTTAGTGTCGAAGTATCTGAAATCACTACAGATTCTGCAACTCACTTTTGCATTTCTGTCTGTTGTCCATGGCTCAGAATCTCCATTGTTTAGCAATGGCAGTGAAAGGTCTTTTCCTGAAAATGTACAATCTAAAAATTAGTATGAAGACAATAAATGGATCACGTAATAAAGTGAACCATACTGAAACCATTCTCATTTATCTTATTCTTCCTTATATTTAGAAATCTGTCAAGTCATGGCAATGATTAATGAAAATTTGATTAATACAATTTAAAACCAATAATGGAACTTGTACTTTTCGTAGTTATCCTAAAACTGGGACTTTAACCAAACTTCAAGAGTAAGGACCTAATTGCAAATATTCACAATTAAACTTCACAACATTATGCAAAGTTTCTTATCTAACTTTCAGAGACGAGAAAAGAAATGGAATCAAAATATCCAGAAGTTTAAATTTTAAAAGGAAAAAAAAAGACTTTACCAGTAATCTTTGCACTGCCACGTCACTAACAAAAAGTTTAAACTATCTTTCTGAAATGAAATAAAACCTTTCATAAGCTGTATGTTTCAAGCAGTGCAATATCAAGCTCAAGCCCAATGGAAGTTACTGGTTTCTTAAACATGAAACTTGGGTTTAGATCTTTAATTACTGCCGATAATGGAGATTTCTTTTTCTGAAGAATGAATAATGTTAATAGAGGATAAGAGTTCAATTTCTTAAACTTCACATATAAAGAGAAGTAAAAGCTTTTGAATGCCTTGCTTTCTACGGTGCCCATCTGGCATCTTGAAAGAACTGGGTATTCAAAAGGCAGGGTGCTTAGTGCTCTCTGAAAAACTACAGTTTAAATAAAGAACATCCAATAAAGAGGCACGTTCTGGTAGAGATTTGCACTAGGCTCTTCATTGGTATGTCATTCTAAGCAGATAGGGCCATCACAGGATGGGAAGTAGAAATGGAACAATTAAATATGCAGATGTTAAGTACTGTCATGGCTCCACGATTCTGTGCAGAGATGATGGGGAATTCAGTAAATTTAGGAAGGGACGGATTTAGTGACAGGAACAAGACTGAGAAAACAGCCAGCAGCTGCAGAAAAATGCCACGGTCAACTTCAGCTCAGAAGTCCTTCCTCTAGATTCTTGCTGTCCCCACAGCCTAGAGTTTCTGGCCAGGTCCTTTCAACAACAGTTTGTACTCTCCCTGCTACCATATGCCAAGTTCATAGGGGAGCAGGCACTAGGAAGTGAAACAGCTTGATCCTGCCTGCACTTTTCTGGGGGAGAAAAAGGCTGTTTTACTCTCTCCCAGCACAGAAGCTCTTGCTTTGGTAACCATTTCAACTGATACCAAGGAAGGTTTACAAGAACTCTTCAGAATATGAGTACACTTTTAAGGCCAAAGACATGAGCAATTTTAAACCACTGTAGTCTGGAGACATACTTCACAGCTGCTTTTTATAGCATTTATGTTTCTTGCACTTCCTAAACATACTGTTAAGTGATGTGATGATAAAATTGTTCTACAAACTCCGACTGGCAGTGTAATCTGAAATTAAGCAAGAACGTCTGCCACTGATCTCAATTCAGAAAATCCACATTTATAAACATCCACATTAACCAATCATTCTAAAAACATCAATTCCCAAAACAGCTGTTGCAAAGGAACAGAATGCCTATCTATCCATAAGTAATCAAGTCCTGGTTTTTCTCTATCTCATTTGCCAAGTAAAACTATGCATTTATGTAAGGCTAAACATCAGAGTTCTCATGTGCAGGGAAAAAGATACAGAAACTATGAGTATGGTTCCATTACATTATGATTTCTCTGGTAGCAGAAACCCTTCAGCGGTACCTGTCCCAGTTGTGAAATATACCAGGTCAAAATGAGGTGCTGCTTATTAAATCTAGATCATTTCCTTGATGCACTTTAGCAAATGCTTCAGAAACGTTTGAGTTGGCATACACAAGAAATTTCTGATCTTCGGCAAGGTGGGCAAATTCCTTTGCCAAGCATTGCTGACAGATAACAATCAATCAAGAAAACCTGTTGTCACATTCTCCGACCACAAATAAAGAAAAGTAAGTTATTTGCTAAAAACACAAGCTGTCAAAATACTAAGAATACAGACATTATTGTACCATTAAAGTATTTGAGAACTATAAATAACAAGATAAAATGATTGATATTTCATCCAACCTAGTAGGAATCTGCTAAAAAATCCAAAACAAGAATCAAGAAAACAAACCTAAACAAACAAAACCCTAACTTTTTACATGAGCGTGTTTATTTTTGCTTCCATGTATAAAAATAAAACAAATTGCGACCAATGACTTCTGAAATTGGAGAAAATCCTTATGACTTTATAGGCAGATAACACACATGCAAAAATAAATTCTGGAGGGTTCACTAATACAGCATACGATACCATTCTTCCTGGGTTTCAGCACTGTACTTTCATCGAGGACATCTATTTTCGGTTCATGCAGTGGAGATCTTGAGAGCAGCTCACAGTTCATAAGGTCTGTGTATTTACAGTCACTGTTAAGTGTTAAAAAACAAACGTTTGGTTAGCCAAATTAAACATGTGCTTCTCTCATATATTAAACACCTACAAAGAGGGACTAAGTGTGTAAAAAATGAGAATTTCTGCAAAAATTAAACCAATGCTTAAAAACTCACTGTATATTTAAATGGCTAGCAGTCCCAACAACTTTATTAAGGGGGTATTATATTAAATCCCCTTTTACCAGATCTTCTTCCCTTCCGTTAAGAATCTAGGTTCAGTATGAACAACATTTCAGCATGCTTGCTGTTTGGAGAAAGCAGTAGTCTTGCTATGCCCTATGAGAGGCATGTTCTAGCTATTAATTACTTCTTATAGCAAGGATAATACAAACCTTTTTGAAACTTCACACTGTTTTTAATACAGTCTGAAGCAAAAGTGTTAATGCAGAGAAGAATAAATTCCATAGAATAAGACCAAATTCATTAATATCAATCTTCACTTTTATTCCAGTCAATATATTGCATTAGTCCTCAGAGGAAAAAAAAATAAAAAAATCTGTGGATCTCATCGCCCAGAATTTTCAAGTTATCATGTAAAAATTTGTTTATGCTTCTTCACCACACCAGCCTCAGATGTGTTACAACAGGATTTTCACAGCAGCCTACCTTCAGGATAACAATCTCAGATTGCTTTTTAATCTAGACGTCAAACTACACAATTCAGTCAAGAAAGCCGAACTATGTAGCTGAACAATCAAATTCTTTGTTTAACTGACATCATCGCTAGAGGCAGGATTTGCTAAAAAGGGACAGTAACTGTGTCTTCTTCTAGGTGAAACTTTGCAATACTAACATTTTTGAGTAAGACTAGAGAAGAGTTTTACTCCAAATGGAGGATTGGAGTAAGCACAGAGTGCTGTGTTGCAACTAAGGAAGTTTATCTCAGCTCTAATGCTCTGTTAAGGAAAGAGATGGATTAATCTGCTACAACTTGCACAAATATTTTTATCCAGCATAATCTATTTTTTTCTGTAGCATAAAGAGCCATTTATGGCATATAGTAAATCTAAAATATTTTAACAGGAGGAAGAGCTTGAAGCTTCTAGCCGATTAAAGAAAAGACGTAATATTCTGTGTATAATGTCCTTCTGGTACACTTCAAGTCTGTCACAGAAATGTGACTGGTACTGGAAAAAAACAGTTCTTCTATGCCAGCTAAACTTTCTTGACTATTGTGAAAATGACTCTGAATGTCTGTGACTCACTTTCTCTCTTATTTACCTGAGTATTCCATGAGTTCAGTTTATTTTTTCTACAAAGTTGTCTTCTGCTTCATTTTTGGGCTGATGTTGAATGGAAGCACATGACTTTGACGCTTCAAGTTGTAAGTACAATAAACAAAGTAAGCACAGCTTGAAGCCAGCGTAGCCGCTGAGCACATGATTAACTCCACGTGCCATGTTTTTAAGCGCCTTTTTCCACTTTTTCCACAAATATTTGTCCGTATGAATTTGAGTGAAATCTTTAAATGGTCTCATGAATTTATAAAGTCCCAAGAGGCAGAAAAGAAAGCTGAGAGTTTCTTTTATGTTCTAGTAAATACTATTGTGGCTGGAAATCTATCTTGCATTGTACCTATATAGAGATGCCAACACAGGTGAGACACTGGCACAAGGTGGCTATATTTAGTCACAAGTCAGAAGACAAAATACCAACTGTCATCTGTTAGGCTACTGCTGTAATATGGCTGTAATATTCTTGTACTTAGCACTACGAATTATGCTATTTGACACTTTTTTTTTTTTAAATCAGTCATAATAGAAAAAAATGAATTAAAATGCCAGTGGTGTTTTGGCAAAAACATCACCTTTCATTTGCAAAGTGACTGGGGAACATCACAGGTTACTTGAAGGACACAGTATATTTACCTTTTTTCTGCTTCACCTTTTTCTTCTGGTTCAAGAGCAGCCACTCCATCTTCAAACCTGAACTGTGAAGATATTTATGGCTTAACTTTGGTTAAGATTGAGGTTTGGGTGAGATTAGTTGGAGATATTTATTGTTGTCCAACACGACACAGAAGAGACACTGATTTTATAAAGCCACGACACCATGAAGTAGCCCATCTGGGGATTGGCCTGGCAATACTGCAGCAAGTACTGCTCCTCCAGCAACCTACACAATTTGACAGACCCTTTCATCCTCTCTAACACACTAGGGACAAAAGAGTGCTGTTCACTTTATGAATCATGTGTTAGGAGCACCAATTCCGTTGCTGAAGGAAACGCTTCAATTCTGCTTTTAAAAATCGTTTTTGCCAGGGAAACCCATTCCTTACTGTTCGATTACCTCGTAATTGCACTTACCAATTTTTAGCCATCTGAACTTAGTAGTTTAACTTACCCAGTTAAAATCATTATCCACTCCAGATGTAATGGAAAACAGTAGACACTATCAGCACCTACATCTGAGTGGCAGTGAAATACAAATTCCAATCCATTATCAAATAGCATAAAACTTCAGCAACTCTTAAAATACCTAGACTTATTATCTTGAGGAAGGAGGTTAGAGAGTATAAAGGTCAAATAAAGTCACTGAGCATGAAAATTGCTTAACATTCCCTCAGAACTGCAAGGAAATCAGTATGATACTGTCACGGCACTTCTGCCCAAGTAATCAGTCACAAAATGCTTCTCCTTAGAGGCAGGACGGCTGTGCAGTTCCCCAGGGTTCAAACACCATCCTTTCCTTCTGAGGCTGTGCGCTGAGAAATACTTGACACCTACTTTTACTAAGTATGTTATCTAAGAACATTACATATGCACAGCGGTGCTCTCATGTGTCTATTGAAACAGTATTTTTCATACAACTGGTAAAACAGAATTACCTTAACAACTGAGATGACAGCATCTTGTTTCATTTCAAATTTGAAGATAAATTACTGATGTCATGTTAAAAACAAAAAAACTAGTTCCATCAAGCAAAACTTAAAATGTCAACAGCATGCAGTAATTGTAAAACTCTGGATGTAGTATCTCTTAAATTCAGGAATTTAAAAATTAGCAATGAAAACTATCCAAATACATGGATTACCATTTCTTAAACTGCTCAGTGACAGAAAGAATGATTTCTTGGTACCTTTTCATTAATTTCAAAACTCTTTAGAAATCCATCTTGCTTTCTCAGTTGGCCATCTTCAAAAGAGCCCTCTGTAACACCTCGCAAAGGACTGTTTCTACTGGATGAATTATGGGTTTTAATATCTGTAGCTGAAAACGTACAAACACATTACTTTATATTTCCCATACTACAAGACAACAAAACTTTTATTTCCTAGATATTACAAAGACTTACAACCTATGACATTTAAGAACTTGTAGGACTTCCGAAATGCAGAATTTACATGTAAAATTATTTCACTTTAAAGCACAAACCCTTTCAAATAAACATTAAACTGAATCTGCAATTAAAATTCCAACCAAGCTGTATGTTCTGCAGTAGTCCCTGTAGAACAGTGTAACAGGTTTATTTATATCACATTGAATTCAATATTTTAAAAATAAATTCAGTTAGGATTTATTATTAAAACACAGCCAAAGATATGTATGTTAATTTGCTATTCAAATAAAGACTTAAGTCTCTGCTGGAGAAGAGGCTAAGTTAATCATAATGACATGATGGAACTCAGCAGTAAATACAGACAGCTCTGAAAAAAATCAAATTCCTGTGATACAGTGAACTTGATGAGAATTCAGTGCAAGGGAATTTAGCACCTTTTGTAAGTGCCACAGGAAATGAAGAGGCCACCTCACTGCAGCTCTCTGACGCGGTTCTTTAAGAACAATAAAAGGAAAGAAATTCACTATTTCAGCATGTCACAGAGTCATTGGTGTCTGTATCATCATCAGGTCAATTATCTTTTTAAAAGGTTATAGTCAAGAGTCATCACGGACAGATCAACACGCATGTGGTAAGTTAAGTGTGTGACTGGATCCTAAGTTACTCAGGCCTGTGAAGAACGAGCTGCTTAAACCTTTTTCTTTATTTTAAGCCCCACAAGAAGACCCAATGACTTCGAATTCCATTAGAATATGCTGTAAAACAACAAACAGATTATTCGAAGTAGAAATTACCAAAGAGTACAGGACTGGCTTCCAGGTTTTTGTTCAGACACGTCAGTACTGTAGGTGCCATGCTCTATCATCTGGCCCTTTCTCTTTACGTAACAAGAGGCTTAGCTGTACACTTGTTCCCTCCTGCACCTCAGCAGTCTTGGTATCTGAGCTCTTACACCCCCATTAACTACTATTTTGTCTTGTAATCATTGAAGCTTGAAGCCTTTTCTCCCACAAATGCTCACTATTCCCATAGGGAAATTCAATCCTTTTTCTCCAAGATGCTACTTCAGCCCAAACCACTCACTCTTCCTACACGAACGTTAACATGTTAATATAAAAACACTCAATGTCTTACTGTTGTCTCATCAACGAATAGAGTTCCTTTCCTGAAGTGCCAGAGATGTCAAAGGACAGAAAAGACAAAAAAGGACAGAAAAAAGAAAAAGACAGAAAAAAAGACAGTACTATCAACAGACAAGAACTACAGGGAAAGACATGTTCTCTGTAAGAGGTTTGTACCATCTCAAAAGACATGCACTTTACATAATTAGGAAATAAATCACTGTTACAATAAAACATTATTACTGACAAGTTCTCATTTTATGTGGAAAGCACAAATCCCAGATTTTCCCACTGAACATCTTTGTGGTTCCTTCCTCAGACGCTTACCTTTTATTGCCAAATCCTGTGAATTTCCAGCATGATTCAACATCCCAGATTCCTGTACGGTAAGGTCTCTGTTTTGAACAAAAAGTACATTTAAGATCTCCATCTTGCAAAAAGAGAAGTCATCTAACCAGTTGTGTAAAATTAAAGTTCTCAGTAATACTTTTAGCTACAGACAGAATCCTTACTTACAATACGCTACCCTCATTAGAGTGTTCTTAAATCTCTTTTGACTATATGTCCATTCCTACAGACATACACCTAGACATGTTAAGTAAAAACATTTCTAAATCCAAATTTTCTAGTAAAAGCCCATCATCTCATTTCCCCTTTGCTTAAAGTAGGGAAAAAGGGAATCTTTTCTATACAGCAACTTACAGAAATACTGGGCTAATAAACCAATTTGTAAGTATCTATAAAATGTGATTTATAGCAATTTCACATTCAAGACACTTTGCATAACGATGAATCCCAAAGACAATAAGAAAAAGGTTTACAGAAAGTTACTTAGTTCACCTATTTAAAGCTAAGTTAGAAAAATATTGTGTATTTCTCTTTAAAAAGCGCAGAAGGTAAAAGTAAATTAAAAATGATATATAGAATAAATAAAACAACAGTCATCATTGCAGATTTTGGAAGCTTATACCTGGTGAATGAGACCAAGTGTAACAGCAGCAAGCTACCCAGAAAAATGGAACAATGGGAATTTGCAAGAACCTAATGGAAACGAAAGCTTCCCAGCATGTGTAACTTTGAACTACACGATATGCAGGCACAGGCACCTATGCAGGTCTACAAGAAATACCACAAAACAGAGTTTAATCAAGTTAGAGCAAGTCTGCAGAGATAAGATGGATTTTTACTAGAAGCAGGCTCTCGGCAGGCTTATTTCATCTCTCTCCCACATGACCATACATTTCTATGAAATGAAGAGCTTGAGTGATTTTGCCTACAATTGACTTTTTGTTGTTGTTGTAAAATCGCAGTGCAGACATTTCCAGAAAGCTGTCATCTTCATACAGGTTTTTTTTTTTTTAAATGGAAAATATATAACATCATCGAGAGACTGCAATCTTCACGTTCAGGTCAAATGCCATTTCCAAATCCTTACCAGATTCTGCTGTGTAGGCTGAAATATTTATGAGAACCACTTTTCAAGTTCTTGCAAAGAAGGTGCCTCAAACATCTACAGAAAGCTACGTTTATTACAACACTTGGCTTCTGCTCACCAGCCTGACAAATCTAGGAGCACTGACAGAACCTGCAGAAGTCAATGCTTTTTTGAGTTCAGAAATGGAAACAGACTGATCACGTCAGAATTTTTTTGAGTAGTGAATGCAGAATGCTTTTGTATGCTGTTGATGATCAAGTTTAAACAAACCTCTCTTTACAGAACAAGTTACATGAACCAGAGTGCTGTTCAGTTTGCTGTTTTGCATTTGAAAAGGGAATAAAGTTTATAGATCTTATTTAAAAGGAAAAAAATAAAATGCACAAGTGTCCTCAGAGCAAGAATGGCTACTATGCTCCTCCAAAGATAGCCACCACATCTTCTGGCTCTGAGCTGCTAGATCTCAGACTTTTGTGTTTGGAGGAAGAGCACAAATTAATGCACCAATGGTGTCCTTTCCAATTGCAATTTTAATATTATTAAACTCCTAAATAACACTCAACATGATTTGAAAAGCTTTAACAACCTAGCTATGTGCTTTCAGAATAACTTGCTGCTAGCAGACATCCAGCTCTCCCTGTTCTGTATCAACGACAGAGCGAAATACCATCATACAAAAATTAATCTACCTAAGTCCATCCCCATGCACACACGCAGTGAAACAATTTTAGCAAAGATCCAAATCCTTTCTCTTATCATCTGCCCATCATCAGTCTGAAGGGAAATCAGAGCAATGTTCTGATACAGGTAGAGAAAACAGTCAGCAACAGCCACCACCTGCAGGCATCAAGACCTTGCACCTCTAGTTCTAGTTAAAACCATTTTGATTATATTTTTCTACAGTGTAATGGTTAGTATTAACCAAACACGAAGCAAAACATAGAATCATAGAATCATAGAATATCCTGAGTTGGAAGGGACCCTTAAGGATCATCAAGTCCAACTCTTGACACCGCACAGGTCTACCCAAAAGTTCAGACCGTGTGACTAAGTGCACAGTCCAATCTCTTCTTAAATTCAGTCAGGCTCGGTGCAGTGACCACTTCCCTGGGGAGCCTGTTCCAGTGTGCAACCACTCTCTCTGTGAAGAACCCCTTCCTGATGTCAAGTCTAAACTTCCCCTGCCTCAGCTTAACCCCGTTCCCGCGGGTCCTGTCGCTGGTGTTAATGGAGAAAAGGTCTCCTGCCTCTCGACACCCCCTTATGCATATACTAGAATTTACACGAGCTCGAGATGGCTGACAACAGTGCAGTTCTGACTCACTGCTCTATGCGGACAGATGGAAGCAGCTTTCCAAACTGATGTTGCTGCAAAGCAAAATTGAGTATGCATAAAATAAAAAGCCAAACAACGAAATACATACAATACCAGGATATTTCTAAGGAGAGGCCCATGAACAGAAACAGCATTTTGTTTTAAAATATGTAGTACAATATAAACAGAACTCAAGGTCAGTCTTCATCTAATCGTTTAATAATGTTACTCCAACTCAATGTCATTACTAAGTAAGGGGAGTATTTATCCTCCCTGTGAACTAATTACAAGACCCAACAGATCTTCAGATAGTAGTGTACATACCAAACTTTACACTCACATGTTGGTTACAGTAGTAAAGGGCTCGGAAGGTCTTTGTTCTTCAGTTTTGTTTTGTTTTGTTTTAGTAAAAAGTATTATTCTATTTTTTTTTTAATATATTCTCATGTCTAAAACCTTCTTAGCACATTGAAGAAGATGCCCTTCCTCTTTTGCACAAGTTTAATGACAGGGAAGGATAAAGATCGCAAAGAGTCAAAACATGAATGTTGTTGTAAGATGGTGCAACTTTGAAAATAATTAGTTTTTGTTGTTGTTGTTGTTGTTTTTTGTTTTTTTTTTTTTTTTAAATAAAGGTAACGTAAAACAACCCATAAGGTGCCAAGGAAGAAAATCAAACACCATCCAATTAAAAACAATAACAAACTTATCTTCAGAAGAAACAAAATCTCATACAATTGCTTTCTAAACTTTGGTTTTCTAAGATAAAAAATTCAAACTCAAAACTCATTTATCAAACAGAGGTATCAGAGCCTAGAGAAAAGAAAATGGACTGGTGAGTTGACGAATTCATCTATTCCACAAGAGAATACTGCTTGTTTTATAAAAGCCTGTGGCTACTTTAAAGTGACTTTTATTATCACCTCAAAACCCAGAAAAAATAAATAAATGCCTGATAATGCATACTAGGCTTCTGCTGAATGAAGATGCAGGCTTATAAACATCCCAAACGTGTTAGCCAAATTACAGATCTGAAGACTATTCACATGTCCAGGGGTAGAAGAGAAGTGGGGAAGGAGAAAGACAATGGAGGGCTGCTGCAGAGACAGCCACTAACTCAAACACAGACAGCAAAAGTATAAGCTACACCTAAAAAGCAAAGAGTATTTGTAAGTATCGTACCACTTTACAACTAAAAACTGCCCTCAAAGGGATACTGCTCAAGCCAGATAATTAAAAATACTGTTATTTACTAAGAATATTATTCTTAATAATTAGCTTTCCTTATACTTTTGTATTTCACATCATCAAGACCAATTCTTGAGGACTAGGTTTTCCTTCCATTCAGGGTTTATCCTTGTCCTTACAAGGAAACCAGAGCACAGTTTATCTGCACTCAGAACCCTACTGTACCTCAATCAAATTTTGAGGCTTAATGCCAGCCCAGACATCAGCCAAATTTTCCAAGGAAGCCTACAACTACAACCAAAGTATACTGATAGGAGATCAAAGTAATTGGGATTACTGTCATCAAAAAGAATGATAAGCATACCTAAAATTAGCATTTACTGAACCTCTATTTTCTGAAATCACAGCATACTCAGGCTTATTATTCTGCTTCTCTTCTTTAATGAAGATGCTACCACAGGATGCCTTCGCGGGCCAATTTTCACAGGCTGTGAGTGCAAACTCTTCTTCGTCACTGGCTCCAAAAAGATCAGGGTCGTCCTGAATCACATCAATGACAAGAACATCTTCTTTGTAAGCTTCCAGAACATCTGGAAAAAAATCACTTCTGGGCTTTGAACAATTCACTCCTGATTTGCCACCATCACGGATTTCTAATGCAGCAGGAGGGTCAACTGCATTCCCTGAACGCTCTGGAAAATTCGTCTTCCACCCACAGTCAGTAGCACTGGAGCCACGTGGAGATGACTCCTGCTGCCTCTCAAGAGCAGGACACGGATATGAGGAGGCGTGTTCAGGGAGCGGGGGCATCTCCTTTGAAAGGGTTTCAGAGCCATCGTGATGCAAGTCCTTACTGTTGACCTTACCAGCATTTTTCTTCATGGAAGCTGTAGATGCAGCATCACTAGCCACAGGAAGAGGCTGCTGTTCAGAATTTACCGAAGTCTCCTCATCTGTTTTCTGCCTTTGTGAACCATCAGAGCTGTCAAGGAGCTCTAGTGGGCTACAGGCTTTTCTTCCTGATGAACTGACACATTCCGATTTCCTGGATTCGGGTTTGTTTCTGCGTAAGGGAATTTTGAAATTTGTCAGGTTTCTGGTGTTCAATGCTTTCACTAGTTTTACGTCAGGAAGCGCCTGGTTCACAACCGGTGCCTTAGGGCTGAAGTTTATTCTGCTTTTGTTACTTGTAGATGGATTATTCTGGACTGTCACAGACGGACTTTTCTTTGTTACAACTCCTTTGTTTTTATTTTTTGGTTTTGCTGTAAGATTTGAGGTCGCTTTAACTTCTTGCATATCATCAGGGTTAAAAGCCAGAGCACTTCTAACCATATCAACTGGTGATTCCACGTTTTTATTGCTCATTCCACAACTCTCATCAATATCCATAGCAGAGGATTCTGGGGTTTCAACCGAAGTCGGGCATTTGGCATTTAGGTCTACTGCTTCATGTGCACATTCCTTAACTTCTGCCAGTGATGTACACAAATCCAACTGCCTCGAATTTTCTGTCACAGCACTGTTTCCTACAGCTTTGATGCTGCTTGGATCAGAGGATCCCTCAAAGACTGGACTTAGAAGTCTGTTTCCTTCTGAGATGGACCAGTGATTTTTGGGAACCCATTCAGAAGTCCTGGCACAAGATTCACGAGGCCAAACATTTTTACCAGTCATAGGCAGTGTTCTTTGACAGGTAAACTGACACAGTTTCTTATTAGCTTTATTCACTTTTCCATCTGTCATGCTTTTTAGACAATTAGAAACACCAGGGGCCTGAGTTAGTGCCCTCAGACTACCTGAGGTAGCAGAGTGCTGCTGTGCTGCCTCACAGCTTGAAGCTTCTCCTTCTGCTACTACAGAGAGCCTGGATGTCTTCTTCAAGCCACCTTCAAATGCAAGTGATTTGGTACTGTTCTTTCCCTGTACTGATGCCTCTTGTGCTTCACGAGTATTGTTTCCTGTATGAAGATCTGCTGTACAATCCCATGAATCTGACAGAGTCATTTCTTTACGGTTTTGTCCTAAGACAGCAGAGGAGCCTGACGTGGCAACGTCTGCCTTTAATTCACACTTGGTGCATTCATCAGGCACATTTGTGAAAACATTCTGCACAGCTGACATCTCACTGATTTTCATCTTTTTTGCACGCTTTCTACCAACATTCGTTTTTTTTTCACTCAAAAACTTACTGCTTTGACTCTGACGGCATGGAAGATGCCCTTCTTTATGTTGAGGTTTTACTTCTTCATTAAACAACGAACTACTTTTTATGGGTGAGCTTTCTTTTTGCATTGTGTTAGTGCTGCAATTCACTTCACTCTGTTCTACTGTTCTGTCAGGACAAGCAGCTTTTCTCTTACGCTGGGCTAAATGGAAGAATTTACTTAAATCAAAAGTGCTGACAGTTCCACCAAGAAATGATTTCACAAATGTATTGATGTAACTACAAACCTCTAATCTCACAACTGGATTCTTCCTTGTTATGCAGAGCAAGCTGTTGCAATGCTTTAGGGTGTTTCTGCAATGGTCAGCAACACGTTCTGCAGATTTATTTATCACTTTTTCTGCTGCAGCTACACTCGATATGCACGCGATATGATCAATTCTGGCTTTCCTTTTTTTAAGCTGTGCAACAGACCTTTTTGCTTCAGGATGACAACGAAAACTCTTGTTTTGAGTCCCACCTAAAGCAACAGCTGCAGGAGATTCAGAGTAGCGAGGTTCCTTCTCATTGGGATCTTCTGAGTTAGTTAGATTTGCCTTACAACTCTTCACAGCCTGTGTACCTGAGTCTTGCTCATTTTTTTTCCATTTTTTCTTTGCTGCTTAAAAACAAAGTAGTCTCATTAAAGAATACACTAAGGGAAAAAAACACCCTAATGCGTTATTTTATAAAGAGGACAAAAACATTCAAGGCTAGCAAAGCACATGACACTGTATAAGCCTTAAACATTTGTTACAATTCAACAAATCTTATTTTTTCATTTTTAATGAGCGCTATTAGCAGACGTGAGAGTACCAAATTGCCTGGTCTTCAGAAAATGTATATAAAAAAAAAGGAACAGAACCTGAAGATGTCACAGGGTTATTGGAAGTTGTGTATTTAAAATAGGCAGAAACCAATTAGAGCAAGTTTGGCAAGGAAACACCAAGGTTATTTGCACCATCAGCCTTAAAAACTTTTGTTTACATAGTACATTCTCCATAATAGGAAAGCTTGTTTATAACAATGCAATAATTTATTTCTGATATATTGTCCAATTAAATCCTGGAAAATTCCAGGACTTGCATTTTTCTAAAATGCTACTTTTTATTTGAGAGCACACACAGATTATGTAAACTGTACACGTGAAATTTCATATGGAGAACGAACTTGAGAAAGTATTGGTAAAATTTGGTTTTATAAGACCTCAGTTTTCAAAGTCAAACATAATTTTAGTATCTCAAAGTTTTCAGGAATTGTTATCTAGATGAAATATTCATTAATAACCTGCAGCAAGTATTTGTCATTTGAATATACTCATTTTGGAAGTAAAAAGAATGCCTTACAGACAACTGCATTGAAGATAATGAGAATTCTTTAAAAATCCTCCTTCAAAATTGTTCATTTGATACAATATTCTCTTAATACACCAAAACAAAATATTTGTTTTGGCATCTTTTAGGACTTTGCAGAGAACAGTGACAAAAAAAGCTGAAAGTTCTGACAACAAAACCCAGCATTATACAAAGGCAACCACTAATGCCTGCATGATACACATTTGAAAACAATCAAGTAACAAAAAACTGCAGAATTTGCTATCTTTTATTTTAGCTTTGCTAAAACTACTGCCTCTCTTCCTGCTTGTGCCTTACCTTCTACATGTAAACGCGTACACCATGTTGGAGGAGAAAACAAATAAAATGAATTCTTATTCAGGGCCTGCTACTGATACCCCTTCTCTCTTCCCCTTCTGCCCCCAACCAGTTTATGTGGTCTCCTCTCCTTTGTGCTACAGAACTGCTTTTCTACTTCAACAAAAGCCTCTCCTCTTCCTAAAAATTTCTTCCAAGACTGGTATTCACAGTTCTTGAGCTAGGGACTGTAAAGTCCCTAGCTCAAGAAGCAGCGAGGTAAGAGCCAGGTTACCAGCCACGTGCTGACGGCCACATTGAGATAGGCCACAGACCACCCCTTCCTGCCTGCAGGACATTGCCCCACGCATACACTTACCCACAGGAAAAAAAAAAAATAAATCTGATTTTTCACTTTCTAACAAGGTCTTACTGCAGCACCATGCCCTCGTCCTGGAAGCCCAGATTCTCCACCTGTATTTCCACAAATGCTTACCACTTTTCCTCAGGCTATCTGCTCCTTTCTGAGGGTCTGAGCTCTGCTGCTGCTCTATCACACAATGCTTGCGCAGCTTTCCTCTGGCTGTTGGTTGTTCTTGGCCACTTACACCCTGTACGTGCAGCAAGTCCCTGTTCTTCGGACTCAGAGCCCTCTTCTTGGACTCCAGACACTTTGTATGGAGTTCTACCAAGGCAGATCCACCTCTCTTTCTTGGTTCTTGTAGTTTTGATTTCACCAAAGATGTACTGCTTTTCTTTCTCAAGCATTTATTTCCTTGTTCCTTGGTCTTTTCTGAACCTTTTAAAGAACACAGATTCATCTTCCCTGTGTTATCTACCACTTCCCAAGGTTGAGGTTCAGACAAGGACGATTCCTCCTTCCCCAAACTCTTTTTAAGATCTGGGATTTGCAGTTTCAGTATCATTAAGGAGCCAATGCCTTTAATTCCAGTACTACATGCCCTGTTCCTAGGCTGCAGCACCTCTGCTTCTGGCAAACATGGGATAATACTCTCTGTGCTGTCAAGCTCCTCCTCCGAGGTTGGGATCTGTAATTTCAGTTCCATATAGGAACGTTTGCATTTTTTTCCTGGGCTCCTCAAACCCTCTGGGAAACCTGAGAGGTTCAGCCCTTCTGGGCTACCGGTCTCTGCTGAGACTTTCTTCTGCAGGGTAATTTGTGAGAGAAATGGCTGTTGACCCTGTCCCATCCTTCTGCTTCCAGTCTTTTCCCAGCAGGTTCCTGCCACCCGATTTTCGCATACGGCTGTGTGGGGTACCTGCATGGTGACACCCTTCTCACTTGGCAATGCCACCCTGCACTGGATCCCCTGTTTTTTCTTACCGGGGAGTCTCTGACTCTCAACTTGCTCCTTCTGCATGGGCAACAGAAGAGCACGCCGCTCAGGGCAAACTCCAGCCAGCACAGCAGGGCGTGCAGATGATGGTAAGGACTGCTCGGCTCCTCTCTTTAGTGCCAGGCGAGAGCTCTTCTTGCCTACCAACACCTCCCTGGGCTCACCCCCTACCCCTGCACCCACAGCACTCAGCCTGGCAGCCACCCTCTCCGCCGCCTCACCACCAGCCACCACCTTCCCCGACCTTAACTGCAGCATGGCAGCACCCTGGAGAAGCCACCACCGAGCCCACAGCACCCACTCACCTGCACACCCCTACCCTCACGCCGGCCACCCCGGCCCCGCAGGCGGCCACCCCTTCTTCCCGCCTCAGCCCTCACCTCAGCGGGGCGACACCGCCGCCACCCCCCGGCCCCGGCAGCACCGGGAGGGGGATGGAGGCAGCGGCCCCGCACCTCCCCGCCTCACTCCCCCTGCAGCCCCGTGTCCCTCGCCCTCCTCGCAGGGCACCGCCACGGCCCTCAACGCCTCGCCGGCCACAGCCACCGCCGAACCCCCGAGGGAGGCTCCGAAGCCGGGGACGGGGACGGGGGCGGTCCGGGTGGAGGCCACGCCGCTTGGCTTCGCCCCGCTCCCCCCCCGTAGCTCTCCGGGGCCGGCTGGAGGTGCCGAGGGGTTGTGGTGGCGTTGCCAAATGGCGGCAGGAGTCTTGCTCCACCGGGCCTGAGTCACGTAGCCCGAAAAAAAAGCAAACACCAACCCCCTAACCCCACAAAAAAACACATATATTGCCCACACAAACAACGCCCCCCCCCCCCCTACACCCTTCCCTCCTCAAACCACATTGCCCAGCCCTTTTTTTTTTTTTATTATTTTATTATTATTATTATTTTGTAGGTCTTTCATCCACCAGAATAAGCCCTGCAGTTCTTCAAAGTCCCTCCAAAGCCACGAGGGAACATGCTCGTGTCTGTACCAGCACCTTACATAAGCTTTGTATTTCAAATACAGCGTTTTCTGAGGAGATACTGAAGTCAGAATGAAATAGTCCAAACACTGTGTAGCCAGAAAACTGCAAAAATTGACGTTTGTATTTTAAAATACAGTAGTATTTGCAAATGCAGTAGTAGTTCCAATACAAATGGAGGCCACCCAAGCTTAAAGAGCATTCACTGTGTGTGAACATGAACACATAGAAACGAGCTTACAAAAACAAGGTTGTACAAAGATCAAATCTTTGTGTGGTAAATGCTATGAAAACCATAAATGCTGTGGAAATCATAAATGCTGAAACTTAAGTTATTAACAGCAAAGTGTTACTTTAACAGCAGCAATGCTGTCAGCATCATGGCAGGTGTACATAAATGGCCTCCTCCTTGGGTACAGCCATTTTCCACTCACGGATCAAATGGAGGCAGTCGCCTTGACTTAGTGCTTCCTCATGTGAGACCTGGGACCAGAAATGAAGCTTTTTGTGTCATTCCTTTCCAGAAGTAGAGTGCCGTGGGTGCGAAAGAGGAGCTGAAATTAATAAAGGCATCTTTGGATTTCTAACCAGCTGGAATTGGCCCACTGTGCAACTCTGGCTAAACCACTCCTTTTACCTTTCTATCTCCATCCACAGGTAGAGATAATACCTCACTATCCTAATAAAGTCAGGAACACTCTTTTATGTTTTATTTTTGAGCGAGAGAGGGGGCAAACCTCTCAATTAGTGACAAAAAATAAAAGGCAGGCTTGAAAACTTCTTAGGTTACGCACATGTTCAAGCACAAAAAAGTCAGTGAGTGGCCAACTAAAACTTATCAAAGCAGAAAATACAGAGGTTTTTTAGTCACTTTTTGCCTCAGCTCAGTATAGTGCTTCATGTCCTCGGGACAGAAAAGACCTGATAAAGGGGAGCCAACTGTACGGCACTTGCCATCCTCAATGTGCTGCGGGGTTCCTGTTACATGAAACATTCGGCTCTGGCAAAATCTAACCTTCTCTGGTTCAGATGTGTGTAACATAGTCTTTTAAGTTTGGTAGCAAGCCAAGAAAGGAAAAAAAAGAAAAAAACATGCCAAAAAGCAGTATTAAAGGAAAGCTGGAAGAACGGCATTTGATTTAGCTTATTGCTCTCTGGTATCATTTTCAAGATTTAGTATCTCGTCAGTTATTTACAATAATAAGAATTTTAGTCAGACCAGATTTTTATGAAATGAATAAAAACTGTACTTGAAATGAATACTAATTAAATACATTCTTCATGCAAGTCCTTTGAAAAAAGAGCTAGAGCCTCAGAAAGGACATTTTGAAGCAGCTGCGGATTATGTTAAAAAACAGACTGCATTCAGTTAAAAATATTGCTAAGAAGAGGTAGTGTAAACATTATCTTACAAAGCAGAGCAATTTAACCTTCTTTTAAAAAATGCTTGAAATAAGAGGCAGAGATTTAATACACGGACGTATTATTTAAGGAAATTCCATGTCAAGCGTTTATTAAAACTGCAGGTTATTAAAGTGTAAGTAACTTAAAAAATCAAATAAACAGCTTTAGGGGAAACATGAATTATTGTCACATTCCAACAACATCTGAATTAGTAATACTACAAGCAGATGTTTAAACTTTATTGTAAAATTCCGTCTTGTTTGGAAAAAAAAAAAGATAAATGCCTGTTTCTCCTGAGTATTGTAAATTGTGTACCTCAATGCAATATCTAAGCTTTAGACTTAATTCAGCTTTTGCTGATCTGTTTCTTTGTTTCATTGGTTTCTTCTTCATGCTTGACACTTAAACAGTCACAGAAATACTAGGTACCCAGTGTCTGAAAGTAAAAAGGGAATCCTGCTGCCTAAAACCATTATTTTTTTTTCCCCAGAATAACTGGTATGTTCAAAGATAACTGGCAATTTCCAAGAAGAAAAATGCAATTTATGTGACTACATTTATGTAAAGTCCATTAAATTTTTCTTTCTTTCTTCTCCCAGAGGAGCAAGTGTTTGCTCTTAGCCTCCCAACCAACTTCATTTCCAATACCAGTGTGGATTCTGTAGCTGCAGATCTAACATTGATACGTTTGACCAATCTTCTAAAAGTTTTTGAAGGGCTGATATTATATGAAACCTGTAAATAACAGCTGTATAGGTGAGCAAATCCTACACAATTTTTACTGGGCTGTATTTTGGACATTGCAGATATACTCACCTAGCAACAAGAATTAAGTCTTCTTTGTGAGCTAGGGAACTGGAAACAATTAACTTGAAAATTAATTGTCTTTTTGTATTTTTTGGTGAGGTAATGTGAAAAATGTCCCCCAGGACTGCTTCCTTTTGCATCCTTTCCTTACATCTTCATGCTTGGTTGGGGAATAGATTTGTTATCTCTGGCAAACCTTAGCGTAAAGATTTTGTCTGTGCTGTAATAGCTGAGACTGAGCTCTGAAGAATGTTCATAGTCTGTTACATTCCTAAAATATGCCAAATTAAAACAACTAAAACCAAACAGGGAAGGGTTTTAGTCCAACATGTCCGCGAAAATGTATTTCTACAGCCTGGAGGGTTATTTAACAGTTCTGATGTATTGGTTTTATGAAGTTAGCACCCAAAGATACATGTATTACCACAGATATGATTTTTAAGTAACTTTTTTTGCCCCCTTGCCTTCTATTCAAATATATGGCTGTTTTGGAAATAGGTTTATTGCTAGCCTGTTGAACTCAGGAGTTTTGTCTCATATTATGCATATTATTTGTCTTGTAATATGTGTATTTCCCTCTAAAAATGCCTTTGCTTTCCATTCACCTTTGACATGAGTTGTAATGAGAATCGTGCTACCTTGCCTCATTATGCTGAGGTACAATGTGCATGTTGGGCTGATGTCCTTGGTAGCTCAGCTGTGTAGGTGTTGACCCAGTTCACGCTAGCAGCTTTTCTACCCTGGCACTACAAACTCAGTGAGACAGGGGTCATGTTTGGAAACCGCTGGATACACTCGGAAACCAGAGAGCTCACTGCTGATATTGTTAGAAATAAATATAGTAATAATACAATGATTAATTGATGTGCAACCAGTGTGGTGTTGGGAGCAGAGGCACCTCAGTGGAGGTATGTGATCCGCTTTGCAAAGCGGTTACACTGCGTGACATCCTGAGTCATGAATCTGGGCAGTAGCTGGGATTTCAACCTTTATTTTGGTGGCTGTTTTTTTATTATAGGGCTGTACAGAGTAGATTAAAGTAACTGCGTTTTCCACCAGTTTAAAATGAGACATCGGAGGGAAAAGGACAGCTGGTGTATTTCATAATGAACCATCTGGCTTCTTTTGGTAGATCCTCTGATTCCTAATTTATTGCTGAATTGTGACAGCATAAAATTCAAAATTATCGATTGTGTGGAATCAGTGTTTCCCTCTGGCACATTTTGTGCTCCTTCAGTTTCTGTCAAAGGATGGTCCTAGGAGGGATAAGGACCTCTCACACTGAGCTTTTGCAAAGCTTGAAAGTCATCTAAACCAATCGCCTTTTTTTTTTTTTTTTTTGGTAATCATGCTGCTTGACATTTATTCTGGAAGACCTACTTTCCAGATGATCACATCTGATCTGAACCTTGTAGAAAGTGGCACTAATCAGTTTTAAGTTTCCACGAGGGAATTTCTGCTTTAGGTTCATATTCCGTTTTATTCACATTCATTTCTGTCTTTTTTTTTTTCTCTCTTTTCTTTTCTTTTCTTTTCTTTTCTTTTCTTTTCTTTTCTTTTCTTTTCTTTCTTTTCTTTTCTTTTCTTTTCTTTTCTTTTCTTTTCTTTCTTTTCTTTTTTCTTTTTTCTTTTTCTTTTCTTTTCTTTTCTTTTCTTTTCTTTCTTTCTTTCTTTTCTTTTCTTTTCTTTTCTTTTCTTTTCTTTTCTTTTCTTTTCTTTTCTTTCTTTTCTTTTTTTTTTTTCTTTTTTTTTTTTTCCTAGCTTACACTGCTAGGAGATTAATAAATTAACTAGAACTTGAAATTCAGAAAATAGAGATACAGTAGAGGAATTAATTATTCAAGTAGGAGACCGTAAACCAAGTTTCAATTTATTTTAAAATGCTCCAAATAAAGTATATCTTTGCTTGAACTCTATAGTACATGTATGTAACGACATACCTACCACTAAATCTGCCTTCAGAATAAACTTGTTTTAGTGGCTGGATGAAAGAGATGTTAGACTTTAGAGGAAAGCATCTGCAAGCCAGCAAGTACATGACGCCTCCATCTCACTGCCAAAAAGGATTTTGAAATGTGATTTCTGAATGAGAAAATTAAAGAAGAAAGGAAAAGTGGAAATGGAAGTTCAGTAAATCAGAGCTAGAAAAGCCGTACAGTAGGGGTGAATGAGACATAGGCAGTGTAATAAAACAGTAAATAAACAGAGGGAAGTGTGCCATGGAGAAATCAGACTAAAAGATTATAAAATTGCTTCAGAAAATCACCCTTAAAATGAAAGCAAAGTGGAAAGAAAGGAGAGCTGAAGACAAAACATGGTGGGAATTTCTTTGTGGTTTGGACTAGAGAAACAGTAGAGGAGCATCTTCAGCAGTGCTCTAAGGAAAAGGAAAGAGCCTTGAAATTTGGATGGTGACACTGATAAGTGGCAAACTAGAATCCAGATCTGAGTCCTAATTAATCTTAACCACTGGACATTGAGGTATCCTCAGTGACTGGCTCCTAGCTTCAATTTCTTGTTCTGTGGACAT